CGGTTTGGGCTTTTGAATCAGAGGATTAGGGGTTATTCGAAGAATATCCTGCACCTTCTGCTTTTTGGACCCGAATTGAGTCAAAGTGCCCGGCTTAAGTCCGTTGCCTCAACCAATCTTCCTTTTCCGATCTAGGGAGCCGGGAATCATCGTTCACCCTTAGTGTTTCACTCACCGATCCTTCCTCACGTCCGTGAACCAGTCCTCCATCGACAACTGAAGCCCAGCATGCAGTTTCATTGTTTCGGCTCAACGAAGCACCCTGTCCAGATGGCATGTACCCTGCATTCTTCAAATAAGAGAGATATTAAGTCTCGTTTGGCTAGCCTGACGAGTTTACTCTAGAAGCATGGCTTATATTTGGTGCCGTCCCTGATTTTAAAAGGTGTTGGATCCGAATTTAGGAAGAAACGATGATGACCGCTGCTACGTCGTTTACTAGCACGCGTGAGAGACATCGTCGTGGACATTATGACCATATCCTTAGCTTACAATAAATCCCCGAGCACCGCTATAAGTATGGAAGACCAACAGTTGTTTCCTTGGATCTGAAAGAGGAGTTCGACAGTCGGTTGCACTACTACTTTCTTAAAAGTGCCGAAATTTTGTCGCATCTCCACAATCCTTATACCCATCGGCGCATAAGGGCCATCACCATCAAAAGTGGTGTCCGCAAAAATTTTCCTGTTCTGTGTTTTATTCTTAGCTTCGAATTCGAATTGGTAATCGGGGAAACACTCGCCATCGTCTTCCTCGGATGTGAAGCTTATTCCTGAAGGAGACCTTGAAGGTCTAAGGTTTGCCGGCGGTATTGAGCTACGTGGTTCAGCCTTCGTCCAGATACGGAACTCATCAAATAATCTAAATGATGTGTTTTGGTATGCGCTTTTCACCTTAAAGTGAAGAAGCGCCATTACGAGATTGTGCGGGTGCACCAACACAGCTGGTCATTACATCAGAACCACCAGAAATAGTGGACAGATTTACCTATCGAAATGGATGTATCACGCCGGATGGGAGCACTTCCGACGAAGTAAATGTTAGAATCGCTTAGGGCTGTTATGATTTCCCTCAGCCTAGGCACCTTTGGGGTTGACGTGACATTAGCCCAACTTTGAAGCCTTTCACATGTATCAGGGGAACATTGAACTATCAACACGGAAGTTCAGTGAATCGTTTTTGGCGATAAACCAACCACGGCAGTGAAGCCTCATTGTTGAACACTGATGTCATGCTGTCGTTGGTGATGATGATTGTTCAGTTGAGTTATTCGACTGCATTAGCTACGCGGGGCCGGCGATCCAGTGCCCCCTGGGGCCCAACTTATTGTCACAGGTTCGGCGAGTTGTAGAGCACATGACCTTGAGAGGGAGCGTAAGAAAGATAACAAAGGGCCTTGGCTGTTCTGGTGCCCTCTGGAGGGTATCAGAGATCCAACTAATCATCGATTGGAGGTACTCATCGACATGCTGACGTCACGCAACCAGCTACGCACTTGTATTCACTCTATTATACCCTATCAATAATCTATTTTTTTATCATGCCCTACGTGTTTCTCCCCTCGTTTCTAAACTAACACACGAACCCAGTCAACCACCGTACATGCTCACATGGTTTAAGGTTGTAAACTGACCTGAACTCGTGGACGTGTACGGAAACCTTTGATTTCGCCTTGTGCAGTGGTATTGATCACTTATTCCCTCGGTTTCCCCTTCCCTATTTGCTCCCAAGTCGGTGTGTTACTCGGGTCTTAGGCCATCTTTCGCACTTCAGGGATCGAAATACTCCTGATGCGATCACTCACAAGCATCAGGTACGCTGGCGATACTACGCTTCTTGAATCAGACACCCTTTGAAATGCAAACTATTTTCAGTAACCTGAACGTTTGTAATACACTTTTCACACGCCTAAAAGCGCGAAGTACTGCTGCCAAACAGAGTGGGACGAGATAAGCCAATCGGCTTGTATATCTGAGCAGCCACATAAGTTCCGATGAACTGGTGGGTAGTGAAGCTCCCGCTCATGCCGTAGCATGCGGTGGGCATTGATAAATTTCTCCGGGTAGCCGTTATAGATCAACGTTTTTTTAAGAACTCTTCTTCCTGAAAAGAGTCAGCATTGCAAGTATGTCAGGCACGGTCGAACCAGTCTTCCATTATGAACTAAAGGAGTAAAGGAGTACCGAATATGGTTCCCGGTAAAGGTCACTCTTCTTCAATACATCCACTGCATGTCAGGCACGGTCGAACCAGTCTTCCGTTATGAACTAAAGGAGTAAAGGAGTACCAAATATGGTTCCCGGCAAAGGTCACTCTTCTTCAATACATCCACTGGTCACACTCCACAAGTTTCGCTGGTTAGACCGTGTACTTCGTACACTCAGAGACCTTTTGCCTCATAGCTTTATACACCCAGACATGTATCAGATGAATACGACCCAGAGGCGGTTAATTCCTGACCTGGCCACGAAGCATAGAGACTCTTACCAGTCAATTACATACAGCAGCGTCAGTGTTGACACTGACGCTCGAGAAAGACTATCATTATTGGTCATCAGAAGGAGTGACACAGTTCCAGTACCAGTCGCAAATTAAGGATAGGATCGATGCAACTCACGCTAGGGTGAAACCCAACTTGATTCTCACGTATCCAACTCTCCTGATAGTGGATTGACCTTCGTAGGATAATAACAAAGAGCACCCATGAAGCTACAGTCACTAGACTAATACCCCGGTTGTTTTCGCACGACGACCTTATTTCCTTTTTGAATGTGAGAATCACCGTCGATGCGCTCCACTCTGTCAGTATTCTTTCCTGACCCCTAATACTTTGTAGGAAAGTCATCAGGATAGCCACGAGGGATTCACCACCTTTGAACAGCGCAGGATGCGAACCATCTGGACCAGCTGCTTTGTTACGTTGAAGCAATGAAATTATGCCCTGATTTTCCGCCGACTAGTATTCACGTCCCACTCGGGTCCATTTGGTCCTTCCAGAATGTAGGTTTATGGGAGCCAGCTGAACTGCTCTTTAAAGTGTTCGGCCTATAGTTCAGGAAGACGCTTCTGTGAATGAATTAAGATCCCGTCTTCCCCGGACCAGTTGATCGGATTAGCTAAAGTAGGGTGCGATTGTTCCTTGTTACAAAGTTTTTCCAACCCTCAGGATTTTGTGCTCCATGAGCGCTTTCTCTCAATCCTTGGGCTGTCCGTTATTCTAGGCTTGAGAGTACTGCGTCCGCTATCACGTTTGTTGGTAGCTTGTGTAGTTTCCTTGGCTTCAGTCAGAGCTGCTATTCGTGACGAGATCAAATGTTCATTGGGATGTGTGAGTGACCTCGAACAGACGGTTCCATAGGATGTGGTCACGACTTCTTTCACCTTTCTTCAGTCTTAATCCCAATCACCATTGCGCCCGTCGAGTTCTGGAAGCTCTCCAGCTGATCCAACTTAGTATTGCTGAACTATAGAGACGCTTTCCAGGTGGCGAACTGTATGCCTTTGTCTCAACCGAAATTTTCCGTAGAGGAAGCGGGTAAATACGCGTGCCCGCACAACGGCGGAGCGGGAGTTAAGCAGTGTACTACAAACTGAGCGACAATCTTGTGCCGAGGTTCTCCACCGGTGGCTGATTGCCACATGGTCCAGCTAAGTCCACGGCTGGTTTGCATGTGGTGGCTTCCAAGTCTCACATTGTGACCGCTTGTACTTAAAGTTTGTGCTAGCTAGAAATAAGTGATGTTCATTACCTATTCGAAGAAGTCCCCATTATGTGTGCGATGAGCATCAACCCCCATTCGGTCACTAATATGAGCCTCATCAGGACTTAGCCGGTCAACTTGAGCATTCATACCACCTGCCACAATTATGCCATCTGTACTTTTCGCTGACCGGATCACCCGAGACGAATATTGATAGAAGTTGTCTTTCTCAGCATCAGAGCTGCTGTCTCTCAGTGCTTATACTGACACAATAATCAACTACCATCTACCACGTCGAGATGAATTGATCATGATTGAACCGCATAACCTAACCGCGCTAACGCGACTGTTAATTAGAATCTAGTCCAGTTAGGTGCATTCATCCCTGGGGTTGAGCACACCTCTCCCACCGTAGATATCACGAGCCATTGCATCAGAATCACCAGATACCCGAAGAGTGAATCGCAAGAAATGCTGGTTCGTACCGAGTGGTTTGAGATGTATGACTGAGGTAGAGTCAGCGTCAGCGGAGTTTTCCAAGTTAAGTGGTAGTGCTTTGCTAGGCTTCTTAACCAGTCTGTTAGAATAAATCGGGTTAAATAAAATAAATAAATCGTTCAGCTGTAGCGCCCTTTCGGTGCCTAGCTGCCATGCCACCCGAAGGAAGCACGAGGGCTGGGATACTGTCAGGTTGCCCAAGCCTAGACAGGGGGTTGTGCTACAATCAACTGGTCATAATGGCTGATCGTACCGGTAATTGGAATGGTCGAAAAATGAGACGTTCAAGTCGTGGCGTAAGTTTCAACCCCATTCTGCCCAATATTCTCAGTTGTGTGTAGACTGACCTGTGGCGATGAGCAAGTTGGTTTCTACAATGAACCTGAGTGTGTGCATCCAGAGTTCTTCCAACTAGATTGACTATATATATATATATATAATGTACGATAGTGTTTCACCTGTATCTTACGCCGGCGTTTTTCATCACTGGGCGTAGGACATTCGACCACATCCTAGCACGGGGTCATCTGCAATGACGAGACGGAGTACTGAATATTCTGTTGTAATCTGTTGCTTTTATTCATTTTCAGTACTTCCTTTCTCATCAGACGGTTTTTTGCACTTGGAAACGACTAGCTACGAATGAAACCCGTCAGTCCTGTGGTATACCTTTCGGAGGTACGTCACTAGAATTTTTTTTACTTGTCTCCTTAGTGTTCTTCACTCATAAATTCAAGGAATGGAAAGGAGCTGGCGGTAAGCTTGGGCGCTCGTTGGAAAACACATGCTCGTTCTCTTTAGCACACCCTTGAATGTAGAGATCCACATGTCTATAATCCCCGCTTGGCAAATCCGGAACCTGAAAGCATGGTAATGAAGCATGTTTCAGCACCGTGGGATGAGGCGTTCTCAGCGCATATGAGGTTCGACATGAACACTTTCTTTACAAGTTTACAGATGCGTTTGGGCGATGCGAAAGCAGGATTTCGAGGAGGCGTATGCTTGTCAAGTAGTGCTTGTGAAATATCCTTTTCATGTTCACTTTGTTCAGCGTTTCTTCGCGCTGGCTATTTCCTACATCATTCGCCCTTTGATCATAGCATGCGTCACTCTTCTCCCTGCCTAACAACCCTACGTGCAATGACTCCCTCCAATATGAATTTGTCGCGATGTGGGACCATTTCAGGCGATAGTTTATCGTGCTGTTATTTCCATTTAAATACGTGCATATCTGTTGCACGACTCGATTTACCCGTTTTTAGTATTTGTTGACAGAGAGTACTTTACTCCAAAGAAAATATTCCCCTGCGCATCGAAATCCGCTCCACAGGTTAGCTGTTGGACTGGAAGTTCTTGTCCTCCGGTGGTTTGCCGCCTTGGATGCCCGTCGATAGCCCAACTTTTCGCTTGCCTTTTCAATGAAGGACTGAACATATACGTGCTTTGTGTCCATAGGTTCTTTATGAACAGATGGTTTTTCAAACCCATCCAAGTTATTGCGCCTACCTCATTCACCATTTAAATACTGCCTCTCTAAAAAGCGAATTCAAGTATGTCAACCACCAATTTCAACCTCCCCGCCGAAATTTTCTCTTCGCAACCGCTATTTTTTCTGTAACTCTATCATTCAATTGATAACTCTTGACACAACCGTTTCAAGAATCCTTACTGAAATCAAGGAGGAAAACTGGATGCTACCGGTAGTTTTGGCTACTGCTATTGACCTACGTCGATTTGCCCACGGTCTGGATGCGAAAGCAGTATCAAACACCAACCAACTAGGTCGCGGCCACGGACGTCATATGGAGACTGCAGCACAGCTTATATTGCGGCTTTTTCAAATTTGCGCTAGTGATAGGTAAGCGTAATTTCTGTCGTACCACTTTAGTTACGCAGGCGGTTAGTGAAATCCCCTGCATGAACCTCATTTTCATTGAAATCCAGATTAAGTTGTTCGTTATATGAACCACATCCCGATAGGGCTAGCCTTATTTTCAGCCCATAATTTTTATTATTATTTTCGTTCCACTTTTACAGAAAGTTTCCCATGAATATGATGCATATACTTACGGTGTTAATCTCTCTTTGCTTTTACACAACCACGTGCGATATAAGAAACAACAGAGACTTGGTTTCTGATCACAATTGGGTATCCAAATTGATTACGACGGATCATATGACCTTTCGCCCACCTGGGCTGCTGCATATCGGTCTTCCGACTCACCAACGTCCTCTGCCCGTTCGTAATTCCTTGTCTGTCCGTCTGATCGTGACCGTTGGCGCATATAAACAGCTACTTGGAGCTGTAGGTCAAAATAGTTGATGATATTTGTTTGATCAGCTCATTGAGGTTTGTTGCATCTGATATTCAAAGAGGAAGAAGCGAAGAAAGTTCCAACATTATTGAAGAGCCGATCGGAGCCGTTTCAGATCTTGGCATGTACTCTACATCGACAAGGGTCATACTTTGAAAACGCCGTTGCGGCTCGAAACGATGTCACGGTTTCGGAGCGCTTACTTACGGTACTGCATATGCGCAAACAAGACCAGCTTATGCACCTCGGGACGCCGAGTCAAAATCGCTAATTTACTCCATTTATGGCATATCATGGCGCGTTACTCGGCGTATGCAATGGTACCGTTGTCGTTGTGTGGCCGTAAAAATGGGTCTTTTTTGGCAGAGGCCTCTTCAAGTCTTCGACAACGGATATCCTGGAAACGTGACACTACTCGGCTGGCGTCACTGTATTCGCAGTGAAATGACCAGGAGGTGGGTAATTACATAGAGCAATCTATCCAGTATGATAGAATACGGTGGCTTGGTATTGTGCTGCGTATGCCAAGCCATCATTCACCGAGACGAATATTGTTGTTCCCCGTAATTCAGAGTGGCAGAGGAACAGTAAGCCGAACAGTAATTTGGCGAAAGTTATAAGGGGATGATAAACAGTCTGAGTGTTGTTGATGCTCTGCTTCCGTAACAGGATCCGCAATACTCTGCTTATCAGGCGGGATTGAAGAGTGAGGAGCGCAATAATTCTCGTATGGGTGCTCTCTTCAGAAATTGACTCATATTCTTATGAAAACCCGGCTGGATTAGAAGGTCGGTTGGCAGTTATCAGGTCTCCACGTGAGAATCAATAATATTTTGGGATTTAGAGACACTGGTCACTGGCAAACTGAGCCAACAGCCGTCGAGGTAACCTTCACGCTTGTCGATTCTATGCACGAATTCGTATACATGCTATTTACCTCAAGTTGTCGATATTCCCTCTTCGAATTAACCTCCTTGAAGGGGATGAAGACATCCTCGCTGCAGGTATGCCTATTCAACCCAGCTAAATAGCACTGCCAGCAATTATCCATCACTTGCCTTGCTGTACTCTGGATGGACAAAGCTTCTATTCGACAAGAAGTGAAAGATAAGAGGGACGTTTCGCACTCCAAAGAGACTGAGGATGCAAAACAAATGCTTAATCTACCTCGGTTTGTGAAACCTTATTTTATCACGCAACAGCCTATCTAGAGGTCCTCTTTAAAACTCACGTGTGCCCGTTCTGATTTGCAATTTGTTACCGTCGTTTTTATACGCTATTTGGTGATCATGAATGCTCTCTGACTAATGGCATATATCAACTGTTCTTATTTTGTGTTTGAATCCGTAAAAGCTATCTAACCTTCACAAGTTGCACATTTTGGTCACTAAACGCTTTCTAACTGTGGTATGCCAATGGATTCTTGCCTTTTTGCGACGAGAGTAAAGGTTTGCGCCGTTCCTGCCATCTATCCTTCCCACCAGAAAACCATCCACTTCGCTTTTCCTGGCCAGTTATAGGTTGAGAATGACTTCCAGACTGTCATTTCGTGACATGACCGTAGAACCTAAGCAATAGAATCAGTTGTATCATTATTTGCCATCTAACTGAGTATAATTCTCATGATGAGGCGCATTAATAGTTGATTAAATACGTATATTACTCAACAGCACAGCCAGTAACAGTATTACACCAGTTTTCAGCCTAAATACCATATTTTCCCATCATCTCTTCAACTGAAAACCAAAGCACATGAACTTAAACCGAGTGCTGTTCAACCCCCTCCAAAACCAACTGATAAGGTCAGCATCCACTGAGTGGCTTTCATCATTACACTTCTCATTGTACGAAGCTGTGTGACCTCGAATCACTGTGGCTTTGCTACGTGGTTTAAAACGGATATGCAGAACAGAGTTGAACTATGCACTGCAGTTTGTCTTGCCTGGATATGTATCTCTGATACTATTCTCTTTCTCCGAAGAGTTCACCACTGTCGGTTCACTGAAACTTCCTTTAGGTTTTGGGCCCTCAGGAGAGTCTATTTTCTGTCAAACTGCAGACGGGACCAACTCTTTTCTTTCGTGGAATCTATGCCCCTCTAGCCATACGATGATGAATGAAACTGGTCAGGAACTGGTGTGTCAGATCTGCTTCGTTGGTAATAATAAAATAAATAATAATCGTTCAGCTGTAGCGCCCTTTCGGTGCCTAGCTACCATGCTACCCGAAGGAAGCACGAGGGCTGGAATACTGTCAGGTTGCCCAATCCGAAAATACATATGGAGCACTCGAACATTGAAGCGTAGGGTTCCAAGCCTCAGAATCCGTAAACTCATAGCCCACAGATTTACCCCCATTCGTGTATCCTTTCTCAAGTATAGCACCTTCCACTGGCCGTACTCGCTTGATTTCTCCCCATTTCTCTTTTCTTTTCTTACAGTCGAACTCAAATGGATGACTCCAAGAAGCTAGGAATGATGGGCTTAGCCAATCAACTTTTCAAGATCTATTTTCAAGTGAGCTGCTTCAATCTATCGACTCCATCTAGTTTGCCCACCTCTAACAGCTCAGCGTGTAATCACAATCCTCACGGAACTAATGTCCATATTTGATGAACGCACCTTGAAAATACACCCAACTATCATTCTTCTCCTACCATTTCCAACCGTTTCAGATCAATAAACTGAATCTGTGCAAACCGATGATCCGTGCCATAGAGAATATGAATATCAATGATCGATTCAGTTTGGCGCAGCGTGTAACCTATTCCTACTATGTTGGCCGAAAAGCCATGTTTGACGGTGACTTTGTATCGGGTAAGCGAGTTTTATATCTTGTGTCCGAATTGTTTTTCCATCTTGCCGCCTGTAACCAGCTGACTTCACCATTCTGGCTTTCCTCAACTAGTATTAGTTTTCCGCATATCTTTGTAGCTTCAGTTCCTTACGTTGGAAGCTAGTCAGTGGGATTAGAGGAATAACACAACGAGAACACAATTACTGGTAGATACTAGCATTTCGTATTGTCTCGTTTGTACCAACATCAATAACCGAAGAAAAATAGCAGCTTTCAAGACAAAGCTTATTACGTGATCACGCACCAGGTAGGGAAGCCGACTAGGAGCACTGACTTGTTATGTCACTAGGTCCAAGAAAGCTTAAGGGGCATATCAGGTTGCTTTTGGATGGGACGAATGCTTAGGTCGATTTACTGCAGAGGTTTGGGGATGCCTTAGAACAAATGAACTTGGGTAGTGAAGAAGGACAGTAAATGCTGGAGTAGGATGTTCGCTTTGGCTGCTTATTGATTTCCTAATTCTCAAGCTATGGTTTCACTACGAATCCCGACTTTTCTGTTCATCTCCTGGTCAACGATTTCCCCTGGCCACTCGCGTCCTCGAATTAGTTACTAGACCATTTCAGGGACTACACAGAATGACTTTTAATCTGTTTCTCTTCGGAACAGTACTTCTAGAGTCTGACACATTGCAGTGCATTGTGTCATAGTCGTTTTGTCACCTGTGAGCACTTTCTGATTTACTACATAAATAGCCGTTTGGTGGATGTGTGCGTTCTATCGTAAGACAACTCGTATATCGTCCCGTCGCCATCGAACTCTTAGTAATGCGTGTTTGCGCACAGTTCAGCATATCCGGATATTTGGCAAGATAGACAGCTTAGTTCGTAGTTGCTCAACATCAGGGAGACTATTCATCTTTCATCGGATACTTTTAGTTTTCCCAAAGTAAGTTGCTCCCACACACACATACCGTGTTTCTCTCACCCTACGATTCTTATGGGAGATCTTTGCAACAAATACAATCAATGGTGATTGTTTTTTTACCACCCTCTGTCTTTCGACCACCGTAGCCCATGAATTTCGTATTGTGGTTAACCATCTTGCTAAGCGTGAATGCACTAAATATGCTCGATGTAAGTCGGTGCGAAAGTGGACTACGTATGTGAGGTCAGGTGATCGCTACCGACTAATTTCAGTCCCAGCTAATCCGTAGCTTACGAGTGGTTATTTGATTGCGTTTTCCATGGGTGACCATGTTTGCTTTGCGTGTTGAACTACATTTTGTTTTTCCAAACAGTTTCGGAAATCTAGGAAATTGGGTCAGCAGACGGAACTTTTCCGTCTAGTTACAGGATTACCTCGATGACGGATGGGCCATATCTCTTCCGAACGAAACGTGGCCTCCATACTTTCACTTGGCGTTTTTTATCATATCGTATGCTAAATAAATAGCATGCAGCCACCATTTACTTCGTGATTCCAAGGGATGTTTTATATGGGGCAACTCATTTTGCACTCAGATACATGCGTAGGTGAGTGCCTCTTGTAGGTGTCGAAATAAGTAGCATTTTCGCCTTTTTATTAGATACACAGCAACGCTAACAAATCATGAGGCGAGCTGTCGGTGCATTAATTCCCTACAGCTCCTATTTGTGGTGTGGGAAAACAGTGTTGACTAGTTGTCCTGTTCATTCTGGAGAAGGCTGTAGATGGTAAAATATGATTAGAAAACAGGTAGAATCAGTCGATTGAATTACCGATTTCCGGGAAACGCGCTAATTGTGGTTAGTCACGAAGCAGAGTCTTCCTGATTCCCGCGAGGAGATGAGAGCAAAAGTCGTGTTTTAACGCATTTTTTGCTAGGAAAAACTGGGAATGCTTAATTTTGCAGAGGAAATCGTGTAAAAATGCTGCTCTCGGAGTTGTTCTGCAGTTGACTAATGACTGGGTGGACTTCAGTTAATCAAACAGGACAAAGCGAACTCGATTTCTCAACTGTCTCGTTGAACCGAAACTAAGTGTACTGGTTGACACTTGTGGGGACGTCATCGAGCCACTTTCTTTTTCTTTCTTTAAAACGCTTATCAACAATTATCGGGTCGATCGTAAACATGTTTCACGTTTTTTCTTTAATGATGGTCAAGGGTATTAAAAACACCATTTTCTATATCATATCAGACAGTACGACTAAAAGAACGGTCTGTTATTTTCGTAGTCCATACTGTTCTACGCTTGGGTCCAAATCATCCTCTACCCTTACGGTTATTGTATCAGATGGGGAGAGCTCGAAATTGCTCAACGATTAAGGTGCGAGCCGAGTGACCGGGAGGTCCGTGGTTGGAACCCAACCCCAGTACCTCGGCTGCTACTCTCGAGGCTTGTGCAACCTGGCAGTGTATCAGCTGTCGTGCTTTCCTCTGGTGGTATGGCAAATAGGCACCAACAGGACGTCACGGTAGAGTCTATTCGTATTGTTTATCCTACAGAAAAGTCCACCTGTATGATGTGATCTCGCACATCTGTGATTTGAGAGGTGGGAATTCATATAGTTCGCTGAAATTACCAGAATGGCTGAACAAGTACAGGGTTCTTCTAAATGAAACTCTCGTATCTTACGTCCCTTCTTCCTTCCACCGACTCAACCCCAACGTGAACTCATGGCTCCACCCATCGGGCAAAACAAAATTTATTCGTCTGTCTTGATTTTGGACATCTTTTTGTACGGCAGAATTCGCTTATGTTCTCGAAGTAAAAACGGAGGACGGTTGTTGTACTTATTTCATTGTTGATCCAAACTGAGCCGAGCGATTCCAAGGGGAACCGACACTTAAAACAGTCTGGAGACGAGTTTTTTCATAAGCTACTTGTGGGTAGTCCGTTTTCAAGCAGGAGCGCTGTTATGACTTGATGTACGGTAGTGCAACTCTGTATCGGTCCCTTGGTTTCCTGCTCCGCCCACTATGGTGTATCAAAAGGCACGACAAGCTCTACACAGCCCTTTTTGGAGACTAAGGAAAACTAGTACAACTGTATTTATAGGGTAGTCACAGTGTGCGTTCCACAAGGTGTGCCAGCGCCTATCCCGTTTTCCATTTTTGTACGTTTTTATTCGTTAGTAGGTGTGAAACGCCGTATTGAAATAATGCAAGCTGTGCCCGTACAATTGTGTACTTATGCAGTATGCACTTCCTAACTCTTGGCATTGAAAAGATACCTATATGAGGTAATCCATTTTCCATTGATCAACATCCAGGATCTGTTACTCGGCCAACGCGGATTGTGTGAATGAACAGAACTCGCCGGAATAGTGCAAGCTATAAGCTGTGCTCGATACTGACCGTCAACTCATATGAACTGAAAGCTTCTCTAAGAACAGGGGATACCATCGGCGCGGTTTTGAGTGAAACTCGTGGATGATGGGGTAGTGCGACTCGGTAGAACTTGGTCACAGTGTTCATTGCCGAATGGAACCCATCACGTCCATCATACTGGTTCGTTATGACCTCATTGGACCATTTTGACCACAGTTGGACAATACGAGTGACCAAAGCGATCCGCCGTCCGCATTAATGGATTTTCGATTAAGTACTTTCTATTAAAGAATAGCCTAATAGTAAAACGTTAGGACCGAAGGTTGTCGCTTCTCCTGATATGTATTTCCATCTCAATCGAAGTCACTTCGCACAAGTCGTCTTTCTTCCTTGCTAGGTAAAATGTGGTATCGTCTACTCGTTAGCTTGGATGTACAAGTTTGCGTCATGCCAGTTATACCCCTGCATCATCGGTTAACGGTTGGTACTCTGCAAGCGATCCGACCGATTCCATCAGCTTCCTACTGTATACCTTTTTGAATCTGGCATGTCATCGAATGGAGGGATGGCCTGTTGTAAGTGTCCTCAGTATTGCCGTGTAGCTGCAATGTAACATGAACACTACAATGTAACACACGGCCGTACGAATTCAGAGTTACTACGAGACTGTGTAAGTCTAAACACAGGTGGATCCAAACAACGGACCTTGTTTCTACTTCAATGAATCGCAGTCATGTAACCAAAAACGAGGACAAATGTGGTGCGGCTGTCAATTTTCTGAATCACAAACGAACGAGCGAACGGTGGGTTAGATTCAAGAACCTCTGCCAGTAGCTCGAACTTTCACCTCGCTCTTATCTCGAGAATAGGACAAAACCAGATAGGCAGCATGAAATGGTGACTAACTGTGAATGCCTATTCTAATCCAAACGAACAATCGAATTTAGGAGGGAAGATGTTCAATCCAGCGCTGATATTTCGCACCTTTTCGGTTGTCTCAAGCTTCCCCTAGCCTAATCCCATTACCCTTTTTTTTATGCAGCGGACAAATCACTATCGTTCGCCTTTGAGCGTTGCCTGGGTAGTGCATGGCACAATAAACGCCTCATTCTGATCTACCTTATTCCGGTGAAAATGTTATTGGTTGGTTTCTTTGCTAATGGCTCTCAGATAATCTCCAGTTATTCAGGGCGTTTTCCCCTACCCCTCCTTACTGGTCAAGTACAACCTGAATGAGTTTCTTGGAATCTCTGATGCCGCCAAGTACGACTATTCCATTTCATCACCACTTTCATCCCACTGTAGAGCAGGCAACTTGCAGAAAATGGATATGGAGTTGAACAAGTACGAGGAATTCTTTCTGTCTTGTGGAGTCTATCTTATTTTGGAGAAACTCAAATTGATAACCTACCGCAACCTGTTCAAGAAGGTGTAAGTCTTTTCCAATGGCGTTTCTCTGCCTGTACTGTTATATTTTTTTCATGCTCGTCCTTTTCGCATGAATCTGTCGTTCAACATCAAAACTGCACCCGTTTCTTATTGATACCAGGTGTGCTATCATGAAAACCCATCTGATGCCCATTGAAGTGTTCACTGCAGCCCTACGTCTCATGGGGGTGAGTGGATTTTGCAGATTTTCTATTAATTTGCTTCCCATTTTCGAAGGATTTAGATCTCTTCGTTCGTCATATCGCCATCATGAAGATATCTCGAAACCAGCCGGAAGCAAGATACTTATTGTTTCTCCCAGTAGGGTTGGAGAATTAACTGTTGAGGAAAATGGGTACCACGGTTGCACTCTGACAGCGCGTATGGTCATGAGAGACAGCCATGTTTAGGTCGTGCACGAGCTTCTATTGTTCTTACCGTCCCATATTTGGATTATGATTATTTTGAACCCGTCGAGTGGATTCGCATTTGGACATATCAACTCAACACGGTACGCTCCCTCGTATGTATCACGAGGTTGATCAGCGAAGTACTTAGTTAAGTGGGCACATGTAGATACGATGATTTGTTTGTGCTTTCACGGCGCATAAAATATGTGGATGTAACTCATTAAACCTCGCATACTCGTGTGGGAAACTTGAAAAGAAGACAACCGAAGAAGTCACTTCGTGTACGCACATGCTGTCGTGGAATATGTACAAGGTTGAGCTGCATCTTGGGGGAATCTATTTTTCCTATAATTGGTTGATGGCATAAATGGTGTTTTCACCAGTTGTAATTGTTCCCTGGAGCGGAGCACAGAAGTCAGCTTTTTCTTTAATATCTATTTTCAAGTGCATGTCCCTTTCATTCCAGTCCTAAACTCGCCTAAGTTTCCTATAAATCGGATGTGTTTAGGCCCTCCGGAGTCCATTAGCCGTTGGTTAGTTAGTGTGCAACAACCAGGGAGCGGAAATGGTGTATTGTCAGCTTCACAAAACAACCTAGTTTATGTGCTTATCGAACTGTAAGCCGACACGTTTACACGGAAGCCTGTGCTCCGTAGTGAAATAGAATCACCGGATGCCTTCCTTTGATCGGTACTAGACTTGTCACTTGCTACCACTAGGGTTCTGAAGCTTTTACACATATTTTAGCTCTGTTTATCCAACGTGAGCTACTGGCACCGTTCAGCTCCACCCTCCTCGGGTCCGGGGCATGTGAGTTCAGTACAGTAATTCGAATGTCCTTACAGATGTGGGCTCTACAGTGGACAATCCTAGCCAATAAAGTGGCAACGATGTTTGCACACATGGTAATTGTGGGAAGCGCAACCCACGCGTTAAAACCCTCCATTCGGACTACTTTGTTTCAGCACCGCAGTTATGGTAACCAACACCGCCTTATAACGAAGCGCACAATCTGATGTTATGTAGAGCTTTCATTTTCCTTCCCAGTTCTTTGCAATTTGATGAATATTTCGCCGGTGTTCTAGTGTTAACTGATAATAGATCAGGAGGGTCTGGTGCCTCAGCCATTCGGGAATCAACTTAATTCGTCTTGATGGCTTCTCAAACCAAAGTATCTTCCCTTCCCATTGCTTGTTTCATTTCCACATTTGTTTTTAAACAGGTAGAGGATATTGACCAAGATGAGACAGAGTGCATTCTGGCAAATCTTATTTATGAAGTGAGTTAACGATGTGGATCTTGTGATCTTTGTTCCGTGGTCTGTTGACGATTAAAAATAAATGAAATCACGTGGTATCCTGACATTTGCTGAGTTGAGTGCAGATAGAGTATACCTTATTTCGTAAGAAACGTCCTGATGAGAGTCACTATGTGAAGCAAGACGTCCGAAAAATGGCGTCATCTAGCAGCCAAATGCGGAAGCTAGTCTACGCTTTAAAATATGCCTGCACTATACCCTCTTCCACGACATTTCTGAAGCCAAATAATCCTGTTTCATGAGACAGTTCTTCAAGAATAAAGCTTTGCAGGATTCCGCAATCTGGCGACACCTGTTTTGCCCTCGCCTAGGCTCTCTGTATCCTATACATCAGTAATTTCTCAGAATAACCGGGCGCGCCTGCAGCGTATTTCAAATTTCAGAACTTTGTTGCCTTTATCCCTGCTTCAATGAACAGTTTGCTGGTATTGCATTTTCGATGCTGCAACAATACCACATGGCTTGAATTCATTCTTGTTTCAGGGTAAAATTAAGGGATACCTGGCCCACCAACAACAGAAGCTAGTCGTGAGCAAGCTACAGGCTTTTCCCGCACTGACCGCAGCTATGACGACAATGACAAGATGAACGGCAGCATGTAAATATGCACATAATACAGACGTTTCTCAAAAGTCCCGTCTTGTTTTCATTTGACGCATCTTATCGTACGCAATGTTTTTATTTCGAAGAAATAGTGTTCATAGAAAAGAAAACTGTACATACGCTTTGGCTGGTGCATAATTTATACGATAATCGTGTGCTCACAGTGAATTGAATGTATCATAAAAAACTCACATGTGAAGTAGGCAAGTGGGGGAGTAAAAGTAAAGCACAATGAACTTGGTCCAGGGTGATAGCTATTAATCGGACACGATAGCCGTACTGTTGATATAAGTAATAATATGCTTTACGTATGATATTATTGACCACAGCCGTTTTCGTTTCCAAAAGAAAAGCAAGATGTAAAAAAGCTGCAGGTTGAAATTAAAGGTTTCCGTACTCTAACAGTACTCTTGGCTTGCCGACGACCTCCAGAGCGATAGGTTGTTTATCGCCTGTTCGAGGACCGTTCGAATCTCGTGAACCAAATGGTACTCTGCCGTTCACTACGTGACAGTCCAAGTTACTCGCCATGCTCCCACTGCGACATACGGAGGAGGCATTACTTGGACATTCTGAGCCTCTGAACCCCGGGTTTTCCGAGACATTCTCCCTACAGTTGATGAGCAAATATAAAGATAAATTGTTAGGTGTGGATCGACAACTTTAGCTATCGCAAACTGGCAAAACGACTATATGTGGCTGACAATAATAACCTGATTTTCCGTTCCTCCGCCGCTGAAGCCCCCTGTTCTGATTCACACGGCTGGGATATTGAAGGACTTCGGTGAACGGAAACCGCAGTGTTCGTCGTGTTTCTGCTAGGGGCGGCGAATGCAGATGTATCCGGTCCGTTTGCTCTGTGAGAATTCGGCCGAGGCGAAGATGTGAAAGACCGCATGCTAGAGCTCCGGGATACTAAACCATAGGGGAACAGAGTGAACTGAGTCAGATGATAAAAAAACATCATGGCTAAAAATTAGAATTCAAAAAAACTTTACCACCTAACAATACACGTACCTACATCGATCAGTCACCGAACTGCCGTCATCTTTTCAATTCGGAGTGGTTATGGTGTAGCAACCTGATAGCCCTCATCAATAATCTGCTTAAATTTGAGTCGGGGGATTGCGTATTACTGTATCACTGTTCGTATAAGTTTTATATGGAGCAATTTTATTTAGCTACTTTTATTCGAATCACTTCTCATGAATGTGAGCGATTAGGAGACCTTACTTACTTCCCGAGCCCTGGCGACTGTGGCACCCTGAACCGACTTCATCGTATGTTGATTTGGTGGTCACAATCTCGCGTAGTTGTTTCTCGCATCGTTCTGTCGCCGGGAGTGGTTGTTGATTGGCCGACTTGAGTTCTGAACGGAAACAAAATGAACGTCTTGAGGTAATTTACTGCAGAGGAATTGCGTAAGGAAAATAGAAACAAATAACGGCTTCAGCAGGAAATATTGGGAAACCGTCGTGTGCATTTAATCAACATCCTTAACAATGACAATGTTTCTCAGTGCGTAATTCACAGGAAAACCGAATGGAAATGAACCATGAAGTCCGTATTTTCGCGCGGAGCTAGAGTCCGATGGAAGACCGTTCCTATCCTATTGGCCAGGATATTTTACTTCGTTTTAACGGGTGACAATCTAAACGGTCTTGACAACATTCATCGTCGTGCCACTCTAGTATTGTGCCTTGGAGTAACCGAGCCAAAGATAGCTCAGCGGTTAAGCTTGAAACTGCGGATCATAAGGTCCGTGATTCAAAACCAAACTTGGTTTTTCGATCGCTCTCATGTAAAATTGGACAACCTGGTAGAACCTTAGTTCCCGTACTCCCTTCGAGTTGCAACCACAAAACCGTTTTCGATTACAACTCGGATACCCTTACGTTTAAGTAGTAAAGGGTCCCATCCCTAAACGAAGTTGGTATGATAGTTTTCAAAAACCGCACTAACATGTTGGTGTAGCTTCTGTTTCGCAAAGAAGCAACATGTAGATTTCCTGCACCAGCCGGCTAACGCTATTCGAATTCCACCCGACAAAATACCTCGTCTCTCAAAGTTATTGGCTTTCCTGTCGGCTTCTGGTGTACTACGAGTTTCGTTATGACGAAAACCAGCCGTAAGGTTCACTTAATCATCAGTCGACGAACCCAGCCATGTAAATCAGTCGTAACTGTCAGTCGCACGCTCCTAGCTCTTCTAAAGTAACCGCCCATCTATTCGTCATTATGTCTTGACTCCTGGTCAGGCTGCTGATTCGTACGTTGAATTACGGATCTCTCCATTAAATAAGCTTCTGTCTCTTTCCAAATGAGATCTCGTTCTGTAAGAGAGGCCAAACTGTGCCGAGAAGCACTGTACAGCTGTTTCATCTTTATTAGGAATCAACAGCAGTGTGCATCTTACGAAACTCAAAGGAGTTTCGAAGGCGCTATCTCCCGGCTAGTAGTGGGAACACTTGGCTGTTCGGCCACGAGCGTCTTATCACTATGGTGGTGAAACTGCTTATCGATCCATTATTGTTATGGGTGGGCTTAACCGTTGATGTGCGGAGCATCCTTTCGGAAATTAAACTTCCAGTAAGTGTTCGTAAACAACTATAGATGTGTGTGTATATATTTGAACGATTAAACTTAACACTTAGGGTAGCACAGGTTGATAGAAAGAAAACGCGTGTAACTCGTCTTTGAATTCAGCAATATACTTATTGGAGGGCCTTTGAGCATTAAAATCTCCAGTGAGGAAAAACCTGAATGAAATGGAGAACTGATAATCAGTGTGTATGAGCCAGATTTGTAGATATGGAATAGGATGTTCCTGTCCCTCAAGGCGAAACAAAAATTGTCTAACAACCACAGAGGAACACTTCAACGATTGCCGACACTAACAAGATTGGCGAGAACAGAAATGAGTTTAAAAAATCGGGCATATAGACCCAAGTACGTATGATGCAAAAGACATTCCTGAGGCTGGGCCTAATCCTTCAGTCACTCATCTCTCAGGGGAGTGCTGCACCAAATGGACTACTCGGGACGCTGTCCAAAGTCACCGATGTGCACTTCACTGTCACACTCACTCGTCACAAGTGTGCTTAGCGGAATAGAAGGTGATCTCTAGGAACGCATTAGCGAGCGTTATCGTGGTAAGACGTCGGTATCGTCCGGATACCCAAGGGGCATTAGTTTCGATCTGACGGGGTTAGGAAAATGTTGAGTATGGACCCGAGTACACAGTGCGCAAAGAAAGCCATCTGTCTCCAACATGAATACAAGGCGATCATTCTGAAAAATGTCTAGAATTCAGACTAGTTTCATGCAACATGAAATTCCCGCTGTGCGTTTGGTAACCATAAATGAGATACAAGCCAGTTCTCTCAGTTTTAGTCAATTCACCAATATTGATTTATCAAAGCTTACTTTGCGATTTTATCGGAAAATCACAACTTGACGACGCCTGGCGATGAAAAGTTTGCGAGCCAGGTTCAGAGCTCGACGAACAGGTCAACAAAAAACGCAACTCATTTGGTGAGTTATATTTGACTTACGCGACCGAGCGTTGCCTGCAGCATTCCCGTTGTCTGGCACCTTTGCTGAGGTCTGATCAGACAGAACCGAACGAGCCGGATTGGTGGACAGATTACCGCCATGCGTGGACATGTGTGGAAAATGATGCTTCTGGTTTCCATCTATCAGTTGCGAAGATATGGAGCGACACAGCTTAGACGTCCTTTGTGACTGTTCGTGGTTTGCTTGGTCTCCGTTAGGATACTTAGCTCCGCAGAGAGCGTCTGCAGTTGATGAAACCACCGACGACGGCAGTGTTGCGGTTCTATTCGAAGTTGCATTTAGTAGACCCCCGCAGCTTGGGACTGGGACGGTTGATTGCCTCTGTGAATGCGTCTTGTCGTCGACTTTTGGCTGAACGAAAGAAAGACACGATAAATTGAAGCTTTTATGTTAATGCGAGCGAGATATTTTAGGCGTTGTTTGAGGCTGTCCAATGGTATTCTGAGAAAGACTTAACTCTCAACCAATTCCTTGTACCAACGCGTCATAATAACGTTATTTGCGTCAATTGTGGTCAGGGTTATGCAGTCATGTTACAATCCCTGTAAAAAATACTTACTCGATGGGCATGATCCGTTTTGCTAGATGCTTCGAGACGACGAAGAAAAGCTTGAAACTCTCCGGTGTCCAACTCGTCTGGATGTCGGTCGTAAATTGACACGGAACCGGGTGTTAGGCGCTTGTTTGGTGATATGATCATGCCGGGCGATGAGCCCGTTTCGGTGGGCACTGAATCTTTGGATTGTGAAAATTCTGAATTGTTGCTTGCTGAAACGAAAAACATAACCACAAACGAGTGAACGAACAGGAGTAGCTAAGATGGCGTGGATGATATGGAAGGTTGAGTTCCCAAGCAGCATCGCAACCAAACCACTCGCAGTGAGATCTAATTAAGTCAACGGCAAGGTTGCAAATGACAGCACTATCGTCGTTAATTACCATCGTACCTGGCACAATGGCTGCCCGACGGTGGAGTTAATAATCGAATTTCGTTCAGAAAACCTGCACACAGAGTGTGCACCCTGGTTATATATCTCCGCAGTACCAACCGGTGACTAAAAATCACAGTTGTTTGAAGAAAGACAAGGGGCTTCCAACTAATTTGTGGGAGAGTCTAGTCGGCGAGGCTATCAAGAATCCCGTTTGTTTTCCTTGGTTTTCACTGTTCTTTTATACCTCGGAATACTCAGGTTTTCGACATACCAAAAAAAACCCGCCCACCGGATTTTTGAGGAATTTTGAGTTGGTATGTACAGAACTCCTCAACTATTTGTTGCAAGCCGAAGGTGGGCGACGCACTGATAGGACCAAAGGAAACTAAATGTAGAAATTGACGTATCTTATTGTTAGCGATGTGATCCCGACATAACGGTTCTGCATTCCTCTTGATATAGTATATTTAAATTTCACCTTCGGCTTCCATCATGCATGACTTTTCAGCCACCCACGGCAATTATAGCCCGTTTCAGCCATACACAAGTTGGGTCCTCTCCCATAAGCTTCTAGCGCAACTCAGATGATCTCTTAACGTGGACCACTAGTTTCAATCTTGATTAGTTGGTTTCAGAACTCGTCAATCTGACAACTCGGCGTGCTTTAAATTCGTTCATCAAAGGCAGTCTCACGTACGTAGGTAACTGAAGTCTTTAAGCGCATACTGAGGTTTCATTGAAATACAAGTACAATCCAATGCAAGTGAGTAATACGGGTTGAATTTTGGGTCTTAGTTCCAACCAAAAGGGACCGGAAGACAAATGGCGTCTCACCCGAGAGCTTGCCAAGTGTATTGGGCACTGAAACAATCTAGTGATCGCACCATCTCACTTTTCAATGCAAAAGGGCCAACTCACATTGTCCGCAGCCACGAATTGTCCCGGACACGGTTGCCCGTTTCGGTGGAGTTGTGTTTAAATCCTTACGCTGGAAAGCATGGTAAGAGACTGGTAGTTAGCTCGCTTTCCCCAAGTGAATATAACTTGAGTTTATACGTGGATTCATTAGTGGAGTAGTTGACGAAAACTCACCTTGACTAGTGCAGCGCGGGCTTTTTGCATCAAGTTCATCCTTCGATTGGCCCTAAAAAGAGTGAACAGAACTGCTTGAATCACAGTTACATCAGAAGACAATATGCCGTAACAAAAAAGTACGAAATCGGGATTTTGTCTGTGGAATTTTACTATCAAAAAGCGTGTGCTGATTCTAGTAAGATCGAAACTAAGCGGCTGTGAAACTGCTGCGTCCCTTTGGTAGACTCTCCTCGAAAAGTTTCCAAAAGGCCTATTACCGATAATATGTTTATGTGGGAACGTGAGCCACTCCTTCATCCACTAAAGTAACGGAAGTAGGTGTAGGGCACCACAGTCAGGATTACACATTTTTGAATGGAGACGTGCAACCCTGATTTCAAACAATTCTAGTCAAAGTACGCAAATTCGGTGTCCTGGTTGACTGGCCTCGATTGGACAAATGAAGTGAAAAAGTAATCCTACCTCCAAAGTGTACGAATTCTCTCTCTCTCTCTCCTCAGTATTTCAAGGACAGCGCTTTCGCTGTCCCCGAATATGGTCCATAAGTTGATCCCTTCCTTCCACCTCAGTATGTGATAAGTGTTCTGCAACCGCGGACTAACAAGCCCGCGCGACTGTTATGTCCTTTGAAAAAAGGTAACACTGTCGTAAAAATGGGCTCTGGTGTAGCTGGCATTTTGTTAACACAAATATGCATATGAGTCCAGACTAGTGCCGCCCGCAGATTAGTTATTGAAAAATCCTGACAAAAAACTTTTTCCGAATGTCAGCGAGTTCATTATGCAGGAGGTTCACCTTAATAAAAGAACCTGCAAATGCTCCGTACTTAGGGATAATGACCACAGGAAGGGACATATCTTAATGCAACATAGCTACGCAGTAGTAACGGTGGAAACGGCCTGAAAGACAGTATACTGATGGAGGGGCAGCATGGTAATATACATTAGTAAAGGGAACCACACATTTCGTTTCTAAAAATTGCCATAAACTTCACTCTAGTGCTGACAATACATGCAACAGTGAAAAAAAACAGATATTGATATGAACGCACAGGACATGCAACATATACGCAGCTGTTCTGCTACGTGAGTCTTGTGGAGTACGCTGCTCCGAGTTTGGCTGCCTCCCAACATAATAAGACATTACAACCTGACATACTATAGGAACCAACTCTAATCGCCGTCAGGTGTCCCGCTGTCCCATTTCACGACATGCATAGCCTGAACTATTGTCAACTCAGCCCACTAACATCCGGAGATTCTAGTCTCCGGAACCACTGAACCGCCCTTTCCTGAAATACTAATTTCAAAGGTAAATCTTGTGCTCTTATCCGCCATTTGCCTTTGTTTGATATGTTCAAAACTAATTTCCGGCTCTTTTTTTGGGGGTGGGGTGGGGAGGGGGAAGAGAGCTGGATGTTCATTTTTGCCCTTATCGCTCTCCCTACCCTGTGACCAACCATTAACGCCTTCTTCAGTCTGATGTCCCCGCTGAACTCCCTATTCTTCCTGACTCTCTCGATCCTAACCGAGTGGCTGGTTTCTCCAGCCCCAATGGGGAGTTAACTACACTGCAGATCAGCTTCTTGCGAGCGAACAGCTACCAGCCGCGAAGTTGCGGGTTCGGAATTTCCCGCAGTTTCGTGAGATTTGTACAGCTGATGCGTCCCAATAAAAATTAAACAACTATACAGTGTTTCTCAGCTTACATTGGCTTCACTGATAGGACGAGATCTCAAGTGAAAAGGATAAACAACTAGGATGGTGAGTCACACGATCAGAGAAAATCATGTGTCGGTTTCAAAAAAGTTGGAATAGGGTGCACTCAGGTGCCTACCACGGAAACAACATTGAAAACGCACGGCAAATGTGAACTCAAAGTAAATAACGTGCAAACCAGCACACATCGCGCTGGCAGGCTGTGTTAGGCCTCACTGTTTCAAATTACTTAGAAACCACCTTTCAGCTCATATGAACTGCATCCCCGGTTTAAATCCAACGAACAACGAAGGGATTAACGAAATTTTTAAAATGTATACTGACTTATACCCTGATTGATGATCTTCAAGCTAACTTTGGGCCACGGTTTAGCTGAGCAATAAATGATGCATAAATTGAAAATGAATTTGATCTAGAACTGAGCGAACTGATCAGCCTGAACGACGACAAAAGGTCTCCAGAAATAACTGTCACATTTATTTCAGGCATCGTGCAAGTCAAGTGCTCGTGCAGTGTTGCGCAACATCAGATTAACGAACTCACTCTACATCCATCTGCTCTGGGATGAGACTGAAACAAAAATGTGGTCTAGACTCGAATTCAATCGAATACGATACTGTCGATTCTTCAAGTCATTTGTGTGTATTTCACGTAGGTGAGTGAGAAACGTTTATCCTCTCAATCTCTCTTGGGAGTAAGCCGTTGTGTGGGTATGAAGGTGGTGTAATAAAAGTGGTCTTTTCAATGGTTCTTCCCTAATAATGGAAATTTTTGTTCGATTGAATTTGTATAATTCTGAAAGGCCAGTAGCGACCAATTTACCCGGAATAACTGTAAACATCTTGCATTCGCTCAATCTTGCTGAAGATTTTCCGATATTTTCAATCTTGTTTGACTTTACGGTATACGTGCGTAACTCAACTCCACGTATGAACACCGCGATCATATCGAAGGCAATCCTTGTTTAATTTCTAGCCGACTGAACCCCTCCTGAAGGCTTAAGGACCTATGGGAGTATCCAAGTTGCACCGGAAAAAATGACGAACAGTTCACTACACCAAGAAAGGGAGTGACCGTAATCTTATTGATCGGTCGTTCTATCGTAATCTAATCAATTAAAAAACAGACAGGATGAATTAATATTGGCGTAGTCGGCCCGGAAAAATTTAATCTAGTTAGCTATTAGATCATATCAGTTCAGGGCAGCAGGACCTACGTGACAGTATAGCAGGAAATTGAGAGACAGAAGACTAGCAAAGTAGATCACCACATATCCCAGCATCATCACGCACTCAAAACTAACAAACAGGTTGAAGTTGTGCAAGGTGATGAGGTGTTTTGATTTGTTCTTAGTACATACCGCACAAGTACGTCCTTGTCATACCCGGGATGCAAGGAGAAATACGACAGATTTACCTCCATCTTGTGTATTGACTAAATTACTTGGACAGGAGTCCAACTATGAATGCAGTAACAGCATCAACTCTAGGTCCTGGGAATATCCAGCTGTTTTGAGAAAATTACTAGCTGATAACAAACAAGTAGCGTGTCTTAGAGGCTGTTGGCAAAATAAACTCGGGCGTCAATAACATACTGTACGAGAAATTGTCTGCGATAAACCACACTGGAAGCATTCATAAAATGTTGCATTGTATGAAGCCGAAGAATGCACCAGATTATTACAGATATTATTATGAATAGATGTAAACGCACTTCTTAGGTTGGGATATGTTCCGATACTGGTCCATGAGCTTGTCCTCCAAATGTTGTTTTTGTCGTTGCAACGATAACAGCCGTTCCCTTGAATGAGTCAAATTGGCAAGAACATCTGAGAAATCGCGCGTTTACCATACCACAGTTACTAAAACAGCGAGCTCTACAGAACGATTGTTTGAGACGAAATGCTGTTGCACTGCAGTGATTCTACATCTGAAAAAACAGGCTTGTAACTGTTTGGCTAGTGTTTACAACTAGAGTTATACTACTTGGCTGAACGGATCGCCCTACCTAGAAAACCTATCAACTTTGGCCTTTATTCAGGCAGATGATCCAGACAGTTACCAACAGAATATTTCCCAGAGTTATACTACTTGGCTGAACGGATCGTCCTACCTAGAAAACCTACCAACTTTGGCCTTTATTCAGGGAGAAGATCCAGACAGTTACCAACAGAATATTTCCAAGAACTAGGGGGACAGTGCGAAACTCCAAAGCTGAACGTGGAAAACAAAAGATGCCCAAAAGTTAGCGTAACCTGAATGAGTAGACACTTTGTAAAAAGGGTAATGACAGCTAAACCAGCGAAGACCGAATGTATACAGAAAGGCAGTTTGGAGGGGCAACCAAACACTAACTGAACATTAAAGTGTAGTCAGTGCCTCCCTCACCTTAAAGCACGTTCCTCGGTAACTCTCTTTCCACACGTTTCCAGAGTTGACGTCAGAAGTTCTTGATTTTGTCCAACTAAACCTTGGAGTTGCAACATCAACGAGCGATTTTCTCCTTCCAGCCTGTTATTGGCTTCGGTAACAATCTGACAACAGGACAAAAGAAAGTTAGATCCTACTTACAAGTACCTCAAAAGTCTTTCTTTCAAAGTCTATTCACATCTAGCAGGAAATTTTCTGGCTATGTAGATATCTCTTGAAAGTATACTAAGATCGATTCGTGTTCCGAAGGAGAACCGGTTCACTACCTATTCATGATGCTTTCCAATGGGCGTTTCTAGGCATCCACATCCTTTCCAATCTCGGTTTTGGTCGACAAGCCAGCCACGCGAACTTCGACAGATAAGTGCAACTTTGTGAAAGTATGTCCGGAATTTTCGTCGTTTCAAGCACGTCCGAGGGCATTCTAGACTCTTGTCACAGAAGTCTTCACAAAATAGGCAGACTCCTCCACCGCGCCGTAAAAATTGTCTATACAGTCTGTCATTTAATTTGGCAGTGGTGCAGTAGTTATCTTGTACCAATTACCTGCTTTTGCACTCTTGCTTTCCAACAGTTCTTGACAGGTTTTGTTCATCATTGCGTGTAGTCAGCTCCAGAGGCACTACGTAATAAATTAGTCTTTTTTGTCTTTCAAGGTTGATGGGAACTCTTTCTATTCGCGGCGGTCACGTTTTGGTAAATAGACGAAGTGACTTAAGAGTACGGTATTACGCAGGCGTGCGCGAAGAATATCGCGCGCCGTTCGAGTGGAGAGGGTTAGTTAAATACATCAGCCCACTGGCGAGAAAGCTGCGCATATGGACGTGCACAACAAACGAATACACCTACAACACTAAATCTGGCGTGTTGCCAAAAATATGTCAGCCAAAAGCGAACATCAGGAGAGCATCTCTTCTGGGATGACTGATAACTTTCTCTTGTTTTGGATGCCGGGTAGCGTAACCTCGCAGATAGAACATGACCAGAAAGAGCTGAACAAGATGCCAACTCTGCTGAGAGTTGCGGATCTTTTTAAATTTTGAAATTCGACCGCTAGTCCATTCTCTCTTATCTTCTGTTGTAGGCTACTTGCCTGCAAAATGTGTCGTCTACAGTTTCTGGCCCTAGTTGCAGTTCCCATAAAAAGAACGCGATATATCTGGTTCTGATTACAGTCATATACAGTCAAGTGGAAAATATGGTCGGAACCTGACGCCTGACTAACGGAACGACGACCTACATAGCTAAGGAAAGGATCAGTTGACTGTTGAATCGCTAACTCGCATTACTATACTGCAATTGTAATTGCAATCATCATTTGTGAACAAATACCTACGCAGAATCGAATTGTGTGAACGGGGAATATGTTGGAAGCTGCTATGTGAGCAGATAAGTTTAAATAACAAACCTGCACTCGAGATCGCAACTCGGCTAGATCTGTCTGGAGCTTCTTGTCCACATTTTGCCGGGTTTCCAGTTCCAAGTTGATCTGGCTTGCTCGATCCTCTGTCTGGTCAAGCTGTCGGCGATACTCGCGGACTTTCTCAATGGCAGCCACTTTCTCCATGCGTTCCCGATCCCGCGACTCCGTTATCAATTCAACTTGACTTCGTAATCTAGCACAATCTTCTCTTAACAGAACAATTTGCCTCGCTTCGCCTATAATAGGTATGCAAATTAGAAACAATGCTCACTCCTTGCCGTATTTTTCTAAGTTCATCTGTGGAACAAAGCAATCAACCTGGATAATTCCATATAACAGCTAAAGGTCAGTCACCCATGAAGGATGAGCGAATAGAACACTGACTCAAAATCAGTGAACGCACTTTCCCGATAGTTTGACTGTGTGTAGATTCAGAGATGGGGGGAATAGAGAAGGGTTAAATCACTATGTATCAACGCTTATGATCAGATTCTTCTGCACTGCCAGACTAACCTCCCAAGATGTCCGTGGTCGATATCAGTTGCGCCTACTGTCAGCTGAAACAGCCCAATGGCTTGTGGGATTAGTGTAGTAGTAGTGTCTCATTATTCTTACAAGTGGCATACTGAGATGCAAAGTAGAAATGGAAGCCGACGGATTGGGTGCTTGGGAAACAACTTCAATAGTGACATCCGGGCCAACCTGGACCTCGTATTTTCCACCGAAACACGGATGCATATTTTTTACTTAAGGTATGTGACGATTTTGTTGATGGTGGTGATGATCATGGCAAATTTTATTGGGCCATTGCTGTTGGACGTCCTGCCTCTCCACAACTTTCAGATAATTCAGTGAAAACAGTCTACTTCATAACTGCCTTGAAATATCGGCTACGATGTACACTTGTGTGGTGGTATTCCAGATCTAATTCTGATAAACTTCGGATTCAATGATCTAGGCATGTATTGAAACATCAGTGATCTATCACTTTCAATAGACAAACCACAGTACACTAACACTAAGCTAAAGGGCACCATAAAAAAAGGACCCAGCTGTGAGTGGGATGAGTCTCCCGTTGCTTGGGCTACGTTGGGAAAACTACTGCTCCATCGCAATCGAGAAAATCTCGAAAGGTTGTTTTCATTAGGCCGCACGAGCAATGCGATCAGATATATCAAGAGTAAATGCTCAAACCGCTTTTAAATCGGGCTAATTTGGCAATGTGATCAACTGTATCCCAACACAAGCGTATGTACCTCCGTCTCACTCACGTCGCTAGATCTCTATATCGACGGCACGAAAAAGAACACACCCGCGTCGAACCGAAAGATATGTCGGCTAGAAGGACTGACTGTTTGGGGACCATACAATGTACCACTGTTTATGCTTTTCGTTCTTGTTCGACGATACCCGTAGAATTCGTAAATAAAAGCAAGTGAGAAATTTTCCGAAAAAAGTCATTTTAGATAGTCCATACTGACCTTTCAAATTTCCTCTCTCCGATTCAAGCGCCTCCTTCAAATTGCGTACCTCCTCAGACGCCGACTGTAGCTTCCCCAACTGTGTACGCGCATTAAACAAATCATTCTTAAGCCGCCTTTGAGTTTCTTTTGATTCCTTCAAATCTCTTGTCAACGATTCAAAGTCCTGACTGAGTCTTTCATGCAGCTTTTGCAGGTGATAGTAGTCTGCAGACACGTTTATCTCTGCTGTATGGGCCGATTCAACCATCGAACGTAGGCGTTTTGTTTCCGCTGCATGGGAAGTTCAACCGAAAGAGGTAAGGTAAGGTAAGCAGATAAATGTGACGATTGCAACTTTTGCGTTCAACTACTGAAGCACCGGCTGCAGATCAAATCATGTGGTATTGAATTGAATGAGAAAGTTGGGCGCAGAGCGCTGATCAAATGTCACGGAAATATGGACGAAAGTGTAAATAAAAAAACTGATATACTCGGTCGGTTAGGAAATTCTTGGAACCGATCGAGAAGTCATCGTTTCGGGAACGGTTAAGTCACAAGGTTGGTTGAGTTTTATGACATACGAAGAACCGATCATCAAAAAATCCCACTGAAAGAACACTTAAGCAGTGGTATGTGTATGCTGAGGAATTCTTTTGTTTTGTCAGTTAGTGTGGATAAGGGTAACACCGAATAGCATACACGAGTTTGGTATTTCTGGTTCATGACAACTGAGTCTGGAAATTGGTGCACACTTTTGGTGGTCTTTGGGGTGACTTGGTGCCAAGACGCGTGGATTAGCGGAAAGGAGTAATTGAAACTTTTGGGTGGGCTTTCTATCTGGATATAAGCGGTTTCTCTTGAGTAATAACTGGACACCGCCAGGTGTCAACACGGGAGACTTAAGGCCATTCTGCACACGCTCGCCAGCTCTACCTCATCAAATATATTTGCACTGGAAAGCTTGAGGATTTCCACTGACTTTACTAACAGCCATTGTGGTGTAAATCCTGATTTTCCCAAGTTATTCTGTGTCGTGTCTAATGCATGTTCTGTCGTTGCTGCCTGATATGCAACTGCATTCCTTGGTGGTCTATTCATTCTTAAGTTAACCAATATTGGCGTGTAGTTCCTTGACTACCATATGTAGTGCAGTCTTTGTATTGTGTTTGTAGTCCCTAGTCCTTCCAACCGAAAGGCGATCAATCTACTGCATCAACAATGAGCTTGGCGTCTTTCCTTTCTCGAACGTTACCCTGAGGTTGTCTGTGTGTGGCTTCCTCCGGACAACTCCAGATGCTCGTGTCTTGTATGAGTCATGAAACTTGGGTCGGTTCATTTTTGAATTGCAACTTTACCCAATCTATTGGCTACCCACACCCTCGAAGCCCATTGCTGACCTCAATTCGGACTGCTATTGAACTGAGGCTTTTGTGTCGAAGGCGAAAGTTACCCAGAAATAACTCTACCCATTGTTTCTCAAACTTTTCAGAAAAAGCTGATGTTTAACACGAGCCAGAGTTATTTGACTTCATTGTTTTGGAGGCTTGAATGGGGCATGTGATACTGAATCGGCCGACATTTGTGAGCGACGTGGATAAACGACCGACGGATGAAGGTGTCAACTGAATGAATGCGCTACCGAATATTCATGTGAAGCGTAGTGTTAGTTGAGCTGTATGAATTTATTGAACAGACGATTTAGGGTATAGCTTTCGGCTTTGAAGGGACTAAAAACGCATAGATGAAGAACGCCGGTTGGTTGCAGTCTTTGCCTCGCCGCACTTTCAGCTGCACTAGCATACCACTTTTATTAGAATTCACAGGCTAGCAAGACTTTATCGCTCCGAATTTTCTTTGCCATCTGTTCCTGCAGGCAGCGAGTAGTTTCCATTGGGGGAACATTATTTCCCGAACAGTTCCCATGGATCACACAAAGATATGTTCACTCGATTATTTCCTAAATCATGTGTCTTGCATAGCCCTACAATCTACGCACAGAACGTAGAAAGCTCACCTTCAAGTTCGACACATCGGTTTGAAAGCTTTGAATTTTGTGCATTTAAACTGTCTACATGGCTGTGCAGAGTGGTGTTTTCGACCTGGAGGCGCGCGTTTGTACCGATAAGTTCATTGAGTTGTGGCTGGACTGAAACGAACTGTCCAATTTGATCTCCGACTTTGACATCGTCTTTCGGCTGGAACTCCTCATGAAGGTTGTTCTGTTAAGCAGAGTAGAAGCGAAAGCGAATGCCACGAATTAGCTTTGTGAATCAGTGTAAGGTATTGCATGTTATGATGAGATCTACTGATCTCCATGCTATATCTGATCAATTTTTAATCAACATCCCTCCATATGGTCATTTTGCCCACTTGTCTTCTGGCTGGCGCAGAGAGTAACGACTGAACTTACTGAATACGATAATTTACAGTGGAGATGCAGCATCTGTCTTTCACACATTCTCTTCCAAAAAACAAATGGTTCGACCAAGTGGTAGAGAACCCGCTTCATGAAACTCGAAAGAAGTGACATTCCGGGACAGTAGTCAGTCCCGGGGGGCTACAGAACTAAATGAATGTGAGCCGGACAAGCTGCTTCAAACGAATGCCTGATAAACTGAACAGGCGGCCAGTTCACCGATTATCCTTTATGTGTTAGTTGGGATTTCAGAACCAGCTCAGAATAGTTTCTAACAAGAAAGTAATACGTAGGAAACTCAGCTACTTGAAAATGAGGCAGGTGACCGGAGGTCTCCCTTAGGTCTCTTTAGTTGTAAGACATTTTCATACGAACCAAAAAGTAAGGAAAAAGCAATCTGTTTGAACGCTGAAAATGGTTGAAGCTCAGTACAACAGGACTTCGCACTGCCTTATAGGCATCATTCATAATGCAAAAAACATGTGTCACGAATTCATCGAACGAAAAAAGCATGGTTGAAATACAATTGTTTCTCAGTCCACTGAAGATGTTTCTTCCTCTCTAAAAGGCATTTGAAGCAGTCATTATCATACAACCGAATCAAGCAAAGCTATAGGCGGACATGTGGAAACGCTACCTTTGTTCCTACTTGAATCATGCAGTCTTTGGGTTGTTCCAAGTTTTCAGGTTCGTCTGCCGACCTGTGGTTCTTCCCCACTGAGGCAGTATAACCAACTGGACCGTAGTTGCAGATATCATCAACAGAACGATGTGAATCGGATGAGAGTGTGACGGAAGATCCTCGCAACTGTTGCTTCAAGCACTGGATTTCCTTATCCCTCTCTTTCACTTGCTTCGTTATGTGGCTTCGTATAAGGATTTCAAGTTGTTCGGCACAACTAAATAATGAACGAGAGGACAAGAATATTGAAGCCTGTAGGAGTCAAACAAAGTAAAAGATGTTACACTGAGTACTTGAGAAGGTGGCACGAAGTGGCAGAACGTAAGGATGATTACAAAAAGTGCGGATGGTGTCGCTGATACACACCTTCTAGGGCAACATCCATGTGACTTTCACTAAATTTGGCCGGTGGCGCTGATAAAAACGGCCGCTAACTGAGACCAACAGGGTATGTGTTGTTAGATCATACTCGCATTCCCCGAGTGATTGCATGTAGGTGTAAGTATATCGGTTGCTTGTGATAGGCTGACTATAGGTCCCTCTCCTCCTCTTCGTCACAGAGCCACATCCGAGTACACTGACATGGTTGTACGGCAGTAGTGCACCAGTGTTACCGCAGCGGCTTACTGTCGATGACAATAATAATGACGGTGTTGAACATGATGGAAGATGCAACCCGCACGTTCTTTATTGAACTTAAAAGAGTGCACGTGTTTACTAGGTGGTGTGGCGTAGTTAGGATAAAGTCGTCCTCAAAACTTCACTCTGTAAGGAATTATATCCAAATACACACATTTATCATTCTCTGCACTGTCGGCTACGGCACATACATGAATGACTGGTGATTCTGTTGCCAGATCTGATGTGCAATCCCCTATGTCATTCACCTACGCTCAAAGGCTACCAGTATTGCCTATTGACCGTTATTTCACAGAATCGTATGATAACAATAGACTCAACTCATACAGCAATGACGACGAGAAGGTATAAATAAGACCTTTTTTCAAACTGCAGCCTACTTACTCATCAGTATTCTCTGTGATGAACAGCTCCTCCAGTCTAGACTTTGGAACACCAAGTTGTTTCAAGGCGTTTGTGATCCAGTCAAACAAGGAGGACTTCTGTTGCACCTTTATTTTCTCTTCTACCAGCTGCGCCCGGAGGGTAAGAACCATTTTTCGTTCTGAACTCAGCTGAAATAAGACGAACAAGTTGGGTCAATATCATTTGGATATTGATAGGTAAAGTAAGGTGACCCACTCCTTGGGACGGCTGGTGCAGCTTTTAATTCTAAAGACGGTAGACAAATGCATGGAGCTGGACAACAAGATGACAACTATACGTAATAAACTGGACAACTGAGATTTACACAAATTTTAGGAACAGGTTAGCCAAACACAGTGATAAAAGTGGGGGTTGGAATGGAATACAAACGTTTTTTTATCGAAATCTGGGCTACACTGCACCCCATTACTGATAATGCAACACATTCCAAAGTGATGTTTTTTCGAAAGTCTTAGTTAGAAGATTCTTGGAAATCTACTGAGAATGCTCTTGGTGCCCCGCTTAGCACGCATATGATTCTAGATTAAGGATGAACCAACTTAATTTAAGCCATCCGCAGAGTAACAGATTGTCATAGTCGATGTCAAAGTACTGCATCGACAGTGACGGAATACCGTGTATAGAAAGAGAAAAGTTACAAGAACACTCATGCACAGGAATAACTGTAGCTTGGGTGCGCTATCGGGGGTTGATCAGGTGGCCGTTGATCTGTCTGCCGAGCTTGGCAATTAGCTTGCAAACGTCTTGGCACCAATCGAGGTGAGATCACCAGTGCGCGGTCGAGTGCCACGCTAGACGAACTGACCGAAAGCCACCTGATCAACCACACGTAACTTGTTTTGGTAAGTGATAAGTTAAACAGCTAAAATCGTAATAATTGACCAGTTAGCTCAGGATTCTTCCTTTGATTATGGTTACATAATACTACATGTGAACGCCGTTTGCATGGAATAGTTCACTTGCACATCGTAGAACACCAAAACTGTCATTCAGCACCATTTTAGAATATGGTATGTATTGGAATGCAGCAGCAAAAATAATGTAAGGTTTGCTTGTGTTTTTGTAACGATTCTATCTCCTGCCGTTTTGTAACGTATAAGAAAATTGCTGAACTTTGGCCTTACTATGGCCTCAAGTATCGCACAGTGCTAAAGAGAGAGCGATACTGACCTGCTCGTACGTTTCCGAGTGCTCTCTTTCCAGCTGCTCAATGTGAGCCTCTTTTTGTCTCAAAGCACCCTGATGTGCGGCCGCTGATTTCGAAAGCTGACGCTCCAAATGTTCGATCCGCGAAATCAAATATTTCACTGCTTCGGTGGAACTCGGATCACTTTGAACTTCTCGCAGCTCGTTCTTCAGTCGACGCAGCTCCTTCTCTGTTGATGCTAGCAAAGACTGTAACCGCGTTAGCTCGGATTGTAAGTATTCAATCTTTTCTTCTTTTGACCGATTCGTCGTTACTGCCCTTTCAAGATCACTGCAAAGAGAACCGATAACTTTATGAGGAAATAGGTGCGCTGAATTTCATGCGTCGTCCAAGACCGTTGCTCAAGGGTTCCTGCCCGATTACCCAAGCATAGATAAGAACAGTTGAGATGCCGAGGTTGGGTTCAAACCACGAAGTTCCCGGTCAAAAAGTTCGCGCCTAAACCGCTGAGCTAACTCGAGCTCATTGACCTCACCAGCCAGCTGAATTTATGTAATTGCTGCTATCATGTCCTGCTTTCGCTATCACTAAAAACCATCACGCATGGCCTCGAAGAAATTTAGAAATGCTTGGAGGAACTTCATCACCCTTACCCTTACCACCCTGAACTGAATTGTCCCATTCTCTAACAAAAAAGCGCCGGCAGAGAAGCTATATCGACCTAATTGATTACTACTGAGTTAAACAGAAGGACATAGAAAAACGAATCGAAACGGGTGGTAGAAAAGCTTAATTTAAGGCATCCTGTGTTCATTTTAGTTGGATGAAATCATAAACTACCTATGATCAGCCATAGGAACCTCACATACGTTCAGGAGACCAGTCAGGAAACTCAGCATGGGTTAAAAAGGAATGTCTGTGCGCTTTATTACAATACAATACGATACAATACAACGCAATACCTAGATTAGGCTTTGGATGCAAGTCAGTGCAACCCGCACGGTTGATTTTCGGCACTCGGCATATCATATGCGCTTTATTACAATACAATACGATACAATACAACGCAATACCTAGATTAGGCTTTGGGATGCAAGTCGTGCAACCCGCACGGTTGATTTTCGGCACTCGGCATATATAGCGGAAAAAAGAATGAATACAAGGCAGATTAAGGAAGAGGACTAGTAGAAAACTGACCTCCTCAGCTCCGAAATGACAGATTCCTTCTGAAGGATCTGATCTCCACATTCATCTAGTTGTCTCTTTGTGGCGATATACTGTTCCTCCATCCGTTCAGATTCCGTCTCCAAGCGCTGAATTTCGGACTCTAAACCAGCCCTTGTCCTGCGTCTTCGGTCCCTATGTCGGTTTGAGCCAGAGCTGAGGCTATACACTTTCCGTCTGGAACGACCATGAGCAAACTGGTCCGGTGAGGTTTCTTCAGTTGAATCACCCGTTTTGTTTCCACTGTCTACCTCACCATCCTCATCTTCATCATCTCCAGCTTCAGCATCCGCGTCCAATACTGGGTCTCTATCGTGTCCATCCGAAGCGACCGCTTTTCTGGAAGCAAGTTGCTGCTTTAGTTCCAAAACACGTTCAGTCAGCTTGTCTCGTTCCGCCTCGAGCTAGAAAAAGATGGGTTGAAACGAGAAAGAGTTTTCCAGTTGGCAAAATAACAGAGCAAATCCTGTGTTAAGCTTTGCAGAGCGCGTGGAATATGTCGTGACTAGGATACGTGCGGTACTCGTCAAAAATAAAGGTGCGTCCAAACCGTTTCACAAATGACATAAATATCAATGTTTCGCTGCAGCAAAATAATGCCGGCTTAGTTGAACAAACCCCTGTTGTGTGGTGAAGGACAAATGGAAGTATGAAGGCCTCTAGCGCTTAACTACAACAATGCCTTTATCGCCAAAACTCAGACAATACGAACCGAAACTGAGCCCGAGGATCAGTGAAATCGGAGTGCCGATGAGAAGACATTGCAAAATGTTTGTAATGGATTTATTTCTGTATCTATGTAGGGAACAACCTGAGGATCGAACTTTCAGAGAAGAATTCATGGTCCTGTGAATCAAACAGCATGAATAAAGCTGTCACCATGTTGAACTACCATTTTTCCTACTTGATTCTCAAAACAGAGAAGTAAGAGATGATTTTCATGTGTCCTTATAGGGAAATCGACCGTTAATTTTCTGCCCATTTTACCTGCATCACTTTTGTTTACCACAGAAGTGGAAGGCCAAACGATGAAAGATCTCCTATGGTGTACCAATAGACAGCCAATCGAACGTAACAATTCAGATCACATTGTTCATAATTACTAAAAATTCCCTCATCTCGCATACAGTATACTGCTCTGGACAGAGCACTCTGTAGTTACCGTGAACTCAGTTATACTTCATGTTAGTGTGCTTTAATTTCAGAGGACCCCAAGGACGCCTGACTGATCAGAATAATTATACTCGGGGAATTCGTCATCCTGTTACTTATGCTCTCAGCTTTGCGTCGATGTGCAGTTTGTGACAGCTCTTTAGTACACCGGCAATGTGGACTTGGTAGAAAACGGTTGAACCCGTTGAGCATCGCCCATAGCTTGTGCAGCTCAGGTGGGGTAATCGAAAGCGCACTTAATGACGTTTCGCACAATCAGTAAAGAAAACGATATTTTAGGAGGCACGCACATGAATAACAAAAATGTACTGCAAGTGAATAAACCATCTCATGTGTGGTGAAGATTTCAAATATGTTATTTGAAACACGAGCTGAGAGAAAACAGGAAAGACGAGTGCCTTCATGCTCATTTTCATACTATACACCATAAGGCACAAAGTGATAGTACCTACAATCCGGCGGATATCCACGGGTGGCGTGGTTGCCATCGACTGCGCGGGTGACTTGGATTATTGTTATTGTCTGGCGAAAGGGAATACTCAGTAGTAGTAAGCAAAATATAGGAGATACAAATAAAAAGCTGAATTAAGAAGCGATATTGCATCACCGAAACGGATAAAAGGAAGAGAAATCAAGCTACACATTTGTATGCAAGCTGCAATAAGCCTCTGCACGTTCGCTAGCCGGTCCCTAAGGCTTTCATGAAGCACCACATCCAGCTCCGGAAAACAATCTAGAGCTCTCGACCTGCGTTCAAGCGTTCAGCGTTTGGAACACTGATGACTAGAGAACCCGCTTCGGGTACCAGCCATTTATGCGTACACATCAACTAGCAACATTTGATCCATGGTCCATCAGCTGCCAAATACCTCGGTTACAGCTATCAGTCTTATTCAGAAAAGAGAGGATTTAGGAATCGGAAGTCTTCACTGAAATAAGCGCTAGGGGAAAAGCGTATGGTTAAAAAAACTTTCGGGATTCCACCAGAATGGAACTGAAGCCTCAAGAAGACGCTGCTGGAAGACACAAGAGCAGTTGTTCCGGAAACGATATCCCATACAGTTTAGGTAAAACAAAGAAACCGAATCTACAATCAACTACTGACCTTATTAATAGTATCAGCAGCAACCTTAAGAGATTCCTGAAGTTGATCACACTGTGCAGTCTTCTCAATCAACCGATTGGCCTCACTCTCGAAGCTGCCTCTTAGAACATTGGCGCTCCGTTCCGATTCAAGTTGACTTCGGAGACGAGCGCATTCACCTTCGACCTCGACGATCGTCGATTCCAAAGCTGACTGTCTGAAATTAAGGCACATAAACAGAAAACGGAGCCAAATGACACCGGAGTGTAGGCCACTGCTTACGAAAATCAGAACATTGAAGAAATTCGATCAACATTCGATTAAACAAAGTGGATATCCGTCAGAAATGCGAAAAATCAAGTCCGATTTTATTTGACTTCATCGGGTTGACGAAGGACGGTAGGTTGGTGGTTTGTCGAAAATACGAACTATTCGTATCGTGATGGCTGTAATTGACCAATCCCTCACACAACCTCGGAAAAGTTATGCATACGCATCGGTTTGTAGATCAACAATTGTTTCAATTGTCAGTCAGATGGCAGAAATTTATTCCTTTAAAGCATTTTCTTCCATGGTTCTTGGTGGTTTAGAAAACGGGCATACTAAACGTCATTATCGCATCAAGATTTCTTTCTCAAACTTGTCAGGTTTGCTCTGACTATTAGGTGTTTCGTCTGGGTAACTTCCGTGCTCGTGGACAGTAAATCACCGGTCCGTACAACGAATCTGATGAGTTGAAAAAATGACAATCAAGAAAGTTAACTTCGGTCCGGGAAATTTGAGATATATGAGGTAGTCCGTCCCTTTTGAGACTAACCATCCTAAACTGTGTGAATCGGTTACGTCACCCAGTGCCGATTCAACAGATCCCCAGTAGTTCAGAACGGCGAACACGGGCACTGCAATGTGGTCACACTACTTAGATTGGTTCAGTAGACGCACAATGATGAAGTTTTTACCAACCCCTCTGGGCTTGGCGGCCCATGAGTTGCTGTGGCAACAAAACTAACGCTAGATGCGGAAAAAGTGACGTAATTACTCAAGTAGTGTACATGTCACAGTAGCTATTGCGTTCTCGTGAATCCGGGCCCCATTTTGAGAACGCAGAACAGTGGTGAAAAGAACTAAACCCTATTTTGAGAGGGTTACCATCCTACTCAGTAAAATGCTATCAATGACCGAAAAGGTGCCATTAAAAATGATGGATTAATGACGACTTAGCTACACAAACAAAGATTTTTAGGCACAAGGATTAGGTTAAATTGTCTGAAAAGGGTCGTCGCTTCAGGTAAACGAATTGTGCTGGCTCTAGAATACAATAGAAGTAGGCTATTCGGTTGCATGAAACCACACATATGCTACTGGAAGCATTCTATCGGTGAAGAGAAAAACTAAAAAAGAATATCAAGTGCCATTTATTATCCACTTATAGCGATGATTTATGAAATCGCGCAGGTGTATTTTCAGGCTATTCATCTCTTGAACTGCCTACCGACTGGAATAGATGCACGAGTTATCTCCCGTCGCAACAGTGCTATTGAAATAAACAGAATTCGTCAGCTCAGTCTCGGACGCTGTGGCGATGGCACCAGAGAGTTTATTTAGATTTGAAAAGTAGATAAATAACCGTTCAGACAGAAGAGGGTAAGACCAGTAAGCCTCATTTTCCTTGGCGGAAGACAATATCCATAAGGTTACTGAAAACCCATGACCAATCTCGACCTCACCGGTGCTCAATGGTGTTCCAGATTACCGTCAGCCCTATGTTCTACTCGAATACCAGATAGTACGAAACTGGCGAAATGTACTCATTTGCATATCAAATTGTTGATAACATAAATTTCAACCCAACTCCCGCTGAACCCCTGGTTTATGATGTTTTTCAATTAGTGGGTAATGTGCTACGTCGGGAAAATACACTGGGATATTCCGAACATCGTACCGACTCAAACATTAGGGTAGCTTTTGTGCAGCAGACCTGAACTCTTGGGGCTGATCAATCACTTGCTTTGGCAGATTATACATCAAACACTCCAAAAGTGTTTAAATGCGCCTAGCACTTAACTTGGGGATAGTGACGATAGTTACCAGTTCTCTAAGGGAGGTTCCGTGTGTCGTTGTGCGAGTGCTCGTACAGCAGGGGCTAACTATCATGAGATCGATTATCTAAGAGCAGTCCGCGGTAAAAAAAACGACGAAACCGGCCACCGAGAGCTCGAATCGCACGTCAGTATTGAGCCATAAACAGGTTGATTGCCCGTTCGCTGCAACAAACACAGTGCTCGTAAAAAATGAACGTCTAAAATCACCGAAACTGCTAGGCAAACCCATATATTGACCGTAATAGGTAAGCCAAAACTTTCTCTTAAACTGATCACTAACCTTTGACATGTCTCCCGGAGCGATGTGATCTCCAAATTGGTCGAAATCAGCAATGCACTCAGCTTATCTCGCTCAACCTTCAGAGAGTCTATCAGTGTCTCCATTTCATCCATGCAATTCTGGCGCATACGTAATTGGCTAAGCTCTAGTTCAGCACGAGCCATTCGGCTAGTTGCCGTTTGCGCAGCTTCTCCAAGCATACTGTTTTCCTTCTGAAGACGAGCCAACTGGTCATCACTCGAGGCGTGATCATTCACACTTCCCCGAAGTAACTGCAGTAGACGAAACAGAAAGGGACACGAAAAGGCAAGGGTACTTAATCAATAATGAAACTCAGTCCCCATTGGCCAGAATGCGGGAGGACAAAGCAGTTACGTTCATAATACAGTTATGCCTGAACAACCGGAATATCCCTGAAACCTTAAGGACTGACCCGTAACAAGCCTAGACTTGACAAGATGGATATCGGTTTCTGGAAAACATGAATGACTGGTCTGTTAGGGTCATACATGCGAGCGACCAATATGTAATGCAGCGCGTTTGGGATGGAAACATTTTGAAAAACTGGGCCGAAATGCAAAGCTATGAAGTTTCGAAACACTTGGCTTTAGGATAGTTGGACAACTTTTTTTCAATGGGATATATAGTTTTCAATGAAAATTAGCCCAACAACTGAAGTCAATCGAAGCCGAAATTGAGAAGCACTGTACAGCTATTTCGTCCAAATTGAGAATAATCAGTAGTGCGGACCTCGACCTCCCGGCCAGTAGCATAAACATTAAAATGCCCGGTTACGAGTGACTGACCAGGAGTGTGATCAACTCCCACTTAGATAGGATTTAGCACCACTAACCGTTTAACCATGGAATCCACATCACGTGGGCCGGCTCCCAGAGCGACCACCTCTCAGATGAAATCTTCATTATTGGTGTGAATTATTCTTCCTTCTCAGCTACGTACAGTTCATTGGCATGTGATTTTCTCAGTAGATTTATCAGAAATCGAAAGTATTTAAAATAACCAGTAGGTTGTTAAGTTGCAATGGGAACGGTGAAAACACAAACTTGTGGATTTTTGGGTTGGTTTATTTGACAGCGAATTAGAGGCTGTTGTGAACTCTTCAGTCACAAGCTCCCTGTCTTCATCCGAAGTCGAAGTTAAAACTTTAGCCAGAACGCAAATCCTTACAGTCACTTATTCCGCACTTTATTCACAACACAGAGAACTTCTACTTCGATAGTGCAAACGTGACGAGTTGTAAGTGCTCATACGACACGTATTAAAGCCTAACATTAATAAAAAAAATTATTGTGTATCCTACTTCTGTGGAAACTTTTTAAGGCCTCAAAGCTATGATTTCACTTTGAACTCGGCAGACATTTTTAAGCAGAAAGCAAAGTAGGAAGCGAAAAGGTCGAACGGGTCGCGTTAAGGCCCAAGAAGTGCTGAGGGAAGTACAGAACGTTCCGCAACGGCCACTGATGGAAACGGTCGAAAACAGTATTCACGAAACACAGACGTGTAAGGAGTATTGAAACCAGATGTTCATAAATGAAGCAACATAGATCTTAATGAATAATTCATGTTTTATTTTTGAATTTTAGGTACGGTAACGGTAGTTTCTCAACTATGTTCTGTCTGAACATCCCAAGCTAGCGTTCCCGTCAAAACAACCACCAAAGGTGCACAACGTGAGTTAACGCCAAACACCGAACCGTGAACACATGTACAGGGCGTCGATTATAAAGTGTATGCAGCGTCAACATTTTGGAAATTTTGGCGCCTCCTGGACACCGCATTGGCAACCGGCATCCGGCAGACACTGAATCATGGCTAGCTGACGCATCAAGGCTTTCGACCAATCACAGCGCGGTTTGATGCTGGGTTGGCAAGAGGCCTGACCAATCGCGTGTAGGATGCAACAGCTCCAGGCTGCGAGCGGTAAGGCAGTACGGTGAGGAATTCCGCCTAACATAAGGGAAAACAGAGCTGCTGACATGGGAGAAACGATCCAGGTTGCTGCTATCAGAGTAATAGGAGTCCATCCTATGAAAGCTATAACAAGAATTTGGTGGGACTGACCCAAAAGTTAGGCAATGAGCATATGAAAACCAAAACGTCCAGTTCAGTCAACTCACCGTCATTGTTTCAGTGAGGAAATTGTTTTCTTTTGAGAGTTCGGCAATATGCTGGTCGGATGTCTGTTGCAGACGGATTAAAGCCTCTCGTGCCTTCGCAGTTTCAGTCTCGGCTTTTGAGCGTTCTAACTCGAGTTGGCGGATTTGTTCGGTCTGGGTAGTTGCTAAAGTTTCTATCCTGCTGAGCTGAAAATAATTCGCAAACCACTGGTGGTGAAATCCAGTCCACCGATTGGTTCAAACAAGTAAAAGAACTATCGAGTACCCTGGAAAATAGTGGGATTTCATACAGCTTGGAGGAAAAGCCAAGCCTCCAGGCTGACGCCACTTCCAAATTTCCCGCTCACTCTATAGGTGTTCTACCAACCGACCTGACAAGAAGGCTTGTTCTCCCTCACGTTCACGCATATGAATCGCACACTTCTTTGGTAGATAGACAGTTGGTGTCTGTCACATCAAGAGTCCCTAATGCACCTTCTACAAAGGACTAGGCTTTGAAGCCGTTCATTCACAAAAACAGGTTTCATGCAAGTTGTAAAAAAGTCTAAGTGAACTTGGAAGGCCTTGAAATAAGAAGTTCAACAACACCCGAATGAATGTCTCCGGGCGTTTCATTTGATGAATGTGCCTGGACTTTTCTTTCTAATATTTAACAAATCCTATTCTACTTCCTTCTAAATACTCGTTGAAAATAAAGACGAAAATATAAATGGAAAACTCGCGAAGTTTCAGTATCAATTCTAAACATCCAGTCTATAGAGCGAGTAAGGGAGAAATAGGGCGTCGCACACATGAAGCAGGAATTACACATAGACTCATACGGTAAGAAGCCATATACATGACTGTGAACAGGCTGACGAGTGAAGAAATGATTTTGAGGAATATCCAGGCGAAATTTCGGCGACCCGAATTAATATAAACTTATTATATATCGTCGGTTGAGGACCCGCCACCTATCACTGCTCAATCGGTACTTTACAGCCAGCCAGAAGTAATGCCGACCAATTGATTTCACGGAGTGACTAAACTGCAACCGAAAAAAAAAGAAGAGCAGAGAGGGAATTTCCGATTATTTGTGGAAATGGATTGCGCACAAGATATGCGGCAAAGCTAGTACACTCAGCTAATTCACGCACATCCAAGTTCTTCGTGTACTGACTACCACTCAAATAATACAACCTCATCATAAGTGGGTGTCAGATTGGTTCGAATAAATATGTTTTCAGCAAGTAGCAGACATCTTGTCCATTGATATTGATACCAACCAGGGAATCACATAAACAAGCGACAAGGTTGACATGTACCTTTTCGGTCATAAGTTGGTTTGTACGGATTTTTTCGGCCAGACGAGCTTCCGTGTCAGCCAACTTATCCGTGATTTCACATGCTGTCTGTTTAGCGAAGTTGCATTCCTCCAAAAGCCGGCGATTGTCGGATTCGAGACGGTCAAGGCGAGTAGATACAGACTCCGCTAGTTGAGAAGAAAGATTGGGCAATGGTACAACATCTGATATGCTAGTCTGGCTCTCTGAGGCATCGTTATCACTGATATCTGCCGTCGATTCTAGAGGTTTAGACTTATGAAGTCCACGACGTTGTGTTTGTTTGACGGGTTTAGCACAATCACGGGTAGATTGTTCTAACTTCAGCCGACCAAACTCCTCACGAAGCTTTTGGAATTCATCCAGGTCTGCACTGCGTAGCTGGTAGAAAGTGAAAGGAACAAATAAATTATGATCTCTTGGGGAGTAGTCACAAACCGTAGAATATTCCTTAACCACAAAAACTGACAACAAAAAGTAGGGGTGCTCTTTTATAAACGCTTGCACTCCTTCGATTGGTGGTAGAGCAGTTTGCTTCCGAAGAGACCGAAGTCAGCAAACTGGTATCTTCAAGGAGAAACCAAACAAAGAAAGTCTCTTTCTTTGCAAAGGAAGAAAACTATTCATTTTCATACTTCCGCAATATTGGTTCCTATACTACCCTATTCGCATAAGGGTGACTACGCCTCGGCCACAAGAGCTGCCGTAAAGACTTATCTAGTGTAAAAGCAGCCGAATTAAATAACTGCTGATTGATAGCACACAGGCGTCATAGCCCTGTAAGTTCGTTGATGAACAATATTACATACTCCAGTCATTTGGCAAATAAAACTAATGTCATGTTTTTACGCCAACTTCAGAATGAATTATAGTAAGGCTCGTGATACGGTGTCAAATGAATGTACTTTGACGTGTAGCTTCCCAGCTAACAGAAAAACCGCTTTATTACCCAAAGATAGCCGTTGTGTAGGCAGAACCAATCCGAAAAGGGGCTAGTCAGTATTCATACAATTAAATGAGACTAACATAAACATAGGTATAGCTGCTTATATTGATGGATGCTCACGAGGTAAATAGACTAGCGGTAATAGAGCATAACAAAGTAGAGTTAGGATACCAAGCGTTCAGCTGTAGCACCCTTCCGGTGCCTAGCTTCCATGTCACCCGAAGGAAGCACGAGGGCTGGGATACTGCCCAAGTCTAGACAGGGGAAGTCGAGAGGGGGAGGTCGGATTCGAACGACGGATCTTCCGGTCAGTAAATTCGCTCTCTAACCAATTGGGCCATCTCGCCCCATAGTTGGGATAACAACAAATAAATAATCGTAGCACAACATAGTATTATTATATCAGTATGTTATAACTTACAAGTGTAATTTAACACAACATTCCAAGGCAACCAACTTGATGGAAGAAAAGTTGCATTCCATAAAGCCTAGATTTGAAGCTTAGATTTAAAGATGAACCAGGTTGAGAAACATCCAGCTTATCAAGCTTACCTGGATTCAGGACGAACGGCTGTTGGCTTCACCGTAATACGGGCTCAACGGGAGGAAAGTCTGTGTATATTTCTTCGACTTCCCTGACTGACAGGCTACAATCAACTCCGTGTCACAACCACCAGGCTAAACCGTGCGTCCGTACTATATTAGTTAGGCCACACAACTGGCTAGATAGACAAATAAGTGCGAGAGCAGTCGGATCTTTTATAAGTAGTAACGAGGGGTGTGGAAATATCAAACCAGCAGAATGAAATAAGCCCGCAGTGGCTAGAGATGTTGTTGTCTGGCGCCGAAGGGCGGAGTACATTTCCGGAACTCTTAACTATTGGACAGGTTAACCGACCAAGAAAACTTTGTTCCAAAATGAAATCGAAATGAAAACGAAGTCACGTGGGCGATCCAGCTCAACCAAACAGAACGGTATTGACAATTCACAGCAATACCAGCCGGAAACAATTTAAGAATGAGGTAAAACGAGTTTGAGTTTGGGCTAGATCATTTATAAAGCTCCATTAGTATAAGGAAGTGACAACTAAGCTAAATGTAATTTAGCAGACTTCAGGTTGACCACACAAAACTTACTAAATCAACTTCAGCCAGCCTGGCACGCGTTTTAGCCAATTCTTGCTCCAAATTAATACACCTCAAGGAAGCAGCATCTTCATCAGTCCGTTGACTTGCCTGTTTCAGGTGCTCGTCACTTAGGGCGTTCAAATCACCAGTTAGTTGTTCGCACCGGGCCTGTGTAGGGTGAGGTAGGCACGTTATAGAGATGAATATGGTTGGCTATAGCATTCTACACTACGTTTTCCGCGCAGTTGAAGACATGATCCAGATCAGGCAAACAGTTGTTGGTTTTTGTTCACACCGTTAGCTTTGTCCAGGGGGTAAAAGCCACGATACGAATTCACCTCATTACGCGAAACAGGAGGCGCACAACTCTCCACATCTCCTTAAACATCTATATTTATCAAAATTGTAAAACTAGGCAATAAGAGACCAAAAGCTGTACGCAAAAAAATAATCCAAATAAAACTTCAGTTAATGGTATTTAATGACGTTATCTTACTTTTTATCATACAGGAGCCATTGGTAAACCAATAGGTTTGAGTGGCATTGTGGAAGCGCACCCACTCTGAAACAGCGCATCAATCGAGTCTACTTTCGGATGCCGATATGTTGAAATAACCATTTACGCACTCAATAATGTTGTTCCCGAGGAAATACATGAGGAGTACACAGCTGTTTACCTAGGCAAAAGCTCCGAGATTTCTGAGCAAAACAACCAATCCAGATTCCACATCACAGAGGTAGCATCACCGAGTGTGTACTTCTACAAAGATTAAAATATTAACAGACTAGCTCATCAAGTACTCCCTTACTGAAACCAGGAACCAAACCGGGCGCTAATTATGCAGATAACATTTTTACGCAGCTTCCTTAAAGGGCGGTCTTGTTGAGAACTTGGTGCCCAACGGGTGACGAACCAACTGAAAAGAGTAAAAACAGATCCCCATCGAGCCTGTATACAATAAAACATGCAGTAAAGCCTAATTCTACGTCCAAAGTACAGTCCACTGCATACAATATAACATGCTTCGTTCACTAACACCTATGCTACTCCTTTCTCCATTTTCTTCTAAACCAGAACAGCTTGCGCGGATATGCAAAGTCGGACGAGAGTGATCGTCACACTTTAGTGGGGAAATTAACCTGTCTTCGCTACTCCAATAACAACCAACTTTCACTCATCGAAAGACTACTCTTGAAGGAAGAAAGTAGCCTCCATCTGGGAAACAGATTTTCTTACGAACTAAGGTGTAGCAGCTGGAATCATTGTATGACCCGTACGCGGTCTATTGTTGACGATGATGAGCTTTTGCCCGGTTTTACTGTGTAATCTCGTGTCCAATTCGGCCCACCTAGGAATTCTACATATCAAGACCATCAGTATGCAAGCCGAGGATTTCTCAGGCACATTTTTTTGCTCCTGAAAACCGAGCAAAAGAACTCACTCACTAATCGGCTCTGGACACTCGGGGCCTGTCGATCTCTGTTAGAACCGTGTTGTTACATAAAACAACAGTGTCCCTAATTAGACAATCAAAATCCGAGTTGGTTTTCAGTGAAAGGTGCCGTTGATAGGCTGGAGGACAGTTTCCGACATTTTCAACACTATTTTCCGCAAGTCCTGACAGCTTGCAGAGCGCTGGTCCCAATTTATGTTCTGCGCGACTTTCAATCACAGAAGACACGTGCAGCTTGGACAATGCAACCAAAAGCCGACTATGATCACGGTCGTGGACGAGAATGTAGCCGAAAAAGTGAGCGTTCGAATCAATCCATCTAGAAGAATCCAATTTCAGACTGGTGGTGGATACAATGGGAAAAAAGTTGTTTGGATATATTTACAGAGTATTCTGTCTGGTCGATTCAACTGAAGCCTAAAAGCAGGAATATTTGCAGCTAGGCACAGCATCCAGGCCTCATTAAATACCGGAAATCAAACACCACTGACTGCTCATTTTGATTGGGACCAGTTTCATGATCACCTCATGGTTGAATGAGCTCTGGTGTTAAAAAGGTAATTTATCCTCAACAAGGTTACATAAATTCTCCAGTGGATAGGAGTAAAAGCTCATGAAAATCAAGCCAGATAGTATTAACAATCAGAGGCTTTGCGTTATGCTCCAATGAACAAGCTCACAGAAGTGAAAGACCAGCGGAGGCTAGTTATGTTCTCAATTGGAGACCTATCCATGTACGATTCAAAATCTTATGATTTTTACCTATCAGAGACGAAGGCCTGGTTTCAGATGAATCAACCTTGTAAGTGATAATTACATGTTGCCAGGTCAAGACAACGAGCACGAAGTAGGTTCAACTCATAGACTGTGGGTGACAATGAAAACTCGAGATGGCCGGAAAAGAAAGTCTCAGTGAAAGATCGTATGTCAAAAGAATTAGAAAACATACAGTGTGACTGTTGTTTCGACCTCTGCAATCATGTGATCAGAAGCAATTTTCAACAGAGACTCGTGTTTTCATTGAAAAACAGAGTCCTGGTGGTTTTTTTCCGGAAAATACAAATTGACGGAGAAAACCGCGGCGAGAGAAATGAAGATTGCCGAAGTTTCAGAGGAAATCATGGAAACTGACTGTCAGCCTAGTTTCCTTTTCAATAGATGATTTCCTCCCATAGCTGTATGCTTTGAAGAAAGACAAAGGTTGTTGTTCCCTCTAAACATGGAAATCTATCAAATACAATCGAATCTGTATGATGAAAGCTTTGTGGACAAAATTAGTAAGAAGGGGAGCGTAAAACGTTTTTTCTTCATGGAATGGCTGATAATGAGAAGCAGGTGTGAGGAAAATATACGAGCAACGGACTGTGACATTATGACATAAAATGCGAGGCGGAGAAATGCGGAACTTCCCAATATCCGGCACTGAAAGTCAACCACCATTCAGCTATAGCACCCCTTCGGTGCCTAACTGCCGTGCCACTCGAGAAAAGAACGAGAGGTGAGATACTGTCAGGTTGTCCAAGCCTAGACACTGGAAGTAGAGAGGTAGAGGTCGAGTTTGAACCACGGACCTTCCGATCAGTAAATTCACACTCTAACCACTGAGCCATCTCATCCCGGCGCTGAAAGTGAGACATTTTAAATCAGAAAACGGAACATTCCACGGCAGGAAATACGAGTCGCCGATTATCACGATGCTTTGGACCTTCCTAATTCCGGGTTAAATGATAGTAAAAATATTTCACGTCACGTTTAAGATAACGACAGGAAAGTCATTCAGTGAGGCTTGGTTATTAGTGGTTCCATGACTTCAAATAGAGAAGTACAATATCAAGAGTTTCAATGACCGCCGACTGCATGTCTTTACGTAAACACGCATCACAAATAAAAAATGAATAACAAATTGAAATCAGCCGAACGAACATTGGAGAGTGGCTGAGCATAGATCAGTCAAAAATAGAATTTCAGACATTTTGCAAGCGGAGAAGCTGAGGATAAACTGGCCGCAAAGCACTAGCGAACGTACTATTGGTTGGTCTTGATGCCCTGATCGAAAAGAAAGATGTATCACAAATTGGAAAACTCCAGGAAAACTTAGCATACAAATCAAAACAGCGGAGTAGCCAGCAGTTCGTCGTACTACTACAACGAATGTCGGTGTCAAAAAGCGTTTGACTTCGACAGATCGACACACAATGTGTTTATGCACTCAATTTCGAGTTTTTACTACAATAAAATGTTGACGCTTGAATGGAACCTGTTTGATGGATGATGGTGCGATAGGCCTCTTCTTCAACAAGGAGATGGGTGGGCATGTGAATGTATACACCGGATCTAGGCCACAACACAGCTCAATCAGACAGACAATGTTTGTCTGCACTGTGCCGAAAGGATACCACAGATGACATTCATATACACTTCTTACTTTGTGACAAGATTTTGTTGATTAGTCATTTCCAGCGACAAGGAATTTCTCGTCACTGTAGTTCCTCCGAGAAAACAAGCCCCCGAGAATCAGTGGTAGCGCTTTCTGGTTCCTCAAGTAGTTGATGTACACCCCAAAAGAAAACAATAAAAAGAACACCAATAGCATTGATTTGGGTTTGCAAGTCGACTGATTTCTGAATTTTCGAGGTTTTAAGCAGAGCCGACATACTCTCTCACCAGACCAGCTGAAGTTGTTTGAACTGGAACAGGCACAGTGACGTACGTCGGAACACGTCACAACTGCAACACAGGTGTGGAGTGATGAAAATATAACTGGCATAAAACGATGCATGATAACCTGATGTTCACCGATCTGTTGGTCTTCTTTAATGGGATTAGGTATGTGATGCTTGTTTTATGGTCGCTATTCAAATATAGCTAGTTAGAACAAAAACTAAAAGTCCATACTAGCCCGGAAGATAAATGCTGACGTCCATCGCAGGGATTCACCATCGTGTAATGATGTCCCAGGAACAGCAATGCAAGTGGATTGAATATTTCGAACTTCCCCTCCAGAATAAAGCAAGGATTCCCATACAGTATGTACAAAAGCTGCTTAGAATATCCGGAAACATCTTGATTCCTAGGAGTTTTCATTAATCACATCTACAAAAACAAAAACAAGTTCAGTGGATGAACATTTTTGTGGCCGCTCATCCACAAGTAGAAGTTAACATTATCGACGCAACGCCAAGTCTTTAAGGTCCAGCTGAACAGTACCTTGATTAAAACCACGAAAAAATAATCCCAGGAAAAGCGGAGTGAGATGAACGGAATAAAAAAACGGGTACTGTCTACTAGATACTACAGAGTAGTTCAAATATTAGCAGAATCCCAGATGTGAACCAGACAGTTTAACTGCATTTAATATGAAAGTGGGGTCCAGGCATTCGAATAACGACATAGTGAGGGACTGAAAGAAAAGCTCAGCCAACCAAAAGGTACAGGTCATCCCAGTTAATTGTGATGCCATATCTCACCTTGTAATAATCAACCTCGTGCATTCGATCCTTCAGCCTTGCATTCTCTGACTCTAATAACTGTACTCGTTCGGCAGCCTCGCGTAAGGCATCTACCTCATCCTGCCAGTGTCTGGCCGAGTGAGCTGCATCAGCCAATCGGGCGCGCTCTTCTTTGACCTGGCCAAGCTCTCGTCTGGTCTCACTCAGTTGATCATGAAGCTCGTTTAGTTGATCCACTTGATCCTCTCTAGATATAAGTCATGGGCATAATGCATAATAATGCAATGTGATAACAAACAGAGAGTAAAGGCCATTACTTTCTTCGCCCTCAATCTGTGAGGGCTACGCTACCCTTTCAGTTTCCTAAATGAACAAATACACGCAAATTCAGAGGGCACTTGTGAGAAATCTTCATAGGTGAGACCACAGTGGAGGAAAAACATCACCGTTTGCCCATAGTGACAGTCAATGATAGTCTAAATGAAAAGACGAACACCAGAGAGAGTGGAGCTTCCAACCTCAACTTCGCATACTATTATATCTGGCAAAATGTCCCCATTAACCTCGATCATTTGTATGAATCAGCCATACCACCTGTGAAAATGTGTGAATCAACGAAGAATGATGCAAACCGAATTTGTTTATTTGGACTGGCCATAAGGACCGTAGGCACAAAAATTTGATAAGTCACCGACTGCAGTACTCATAAATTCAACTAATTCGACAATGACGATGCCAGATAATGAACACATGCTGCTAACAGTAGACAGTGTAGTACCGTTCTCAAACAGTCACAAAGGCACGGTCTTAAACGGAAACAACTACTATGTGGAGTAAAACACATATAAACTTCAAAATAATTCCGGTGAAACCAATTCAGCTGGTCGCGACATTGGATTCGAAAGTGACGGAATAAAGTACGACGCTCAGGAAGCACGTCACTAAGAGACTTTATCGTCGTTATCCAATTAGGTGTTTGCTAGTGATAGAGATGCTATTGATCAGTACCAGTGTGCATACACATTCGACGAGGAAACAGTTATACTGACATGCCCCACACCAAGATCACCACTCCCGAAAGATTGCTTAAACTCAGATGGCATATTACAGTTGCCACACATCTATCCAGATCTTCCTACGTGGCTCTCAAAGTAATTTATCCTTGCAGTGTCATCATATAATCCGGGTTAGACTGGATGGTATCAAAGTCTGGTGAAGATGCAAAACCAGAAAATACACGCCACTTCCGACGGCTGACTTCTATGCGGCAGAACACGGGGACGTCTTCACTCTATCCCCTGGACAACCAGTTGAGCCACCAAATCTGACTGGAAGCAGAAAAGCTCTAAATTATTGATCTCATACTGTAACAGGAAAGAAAGTATGAAAGACCAAAATGGATAGAGAGAGACCATTCGTCGTTCACATGCATCCAACCAAAAATTGTACGCCAGGTATTGGTGTACTACCTGGATTACTCGGTGAGACAATAAAAAGGATCAGTTCTCAACACCGGATGCAGCATCCTTTATTTAGCAAAGGCGTTTTAGTGTGCGCTCATGCCTCAAAAAAAAGTTTATGAGTTCTATATCTTCATGGCGCTTGAGAGGTGGGTGTATTCATGCGAATAAGGATGATGAACTGTTAAGTTACTTAAAATGGATGATAAAAAATTTTCAGTGTAAAATAAACTATCAGAGGACAAACATCTGGGCACAGAATACGACAGTATCACCAGAAACAGCCGTTGCCTCCTGGGTTCTGTTTCTTCAAACAATTACAGTGCCGAGTTAAATGACATCTTATCCTAGAGTATCGAGTAGGTTTCGAAAAGCATGACATTCAAACACGGATTGTATAAATCCTTGAAAAGGGTTTCCCACGGCAACCGAAACGTCGGATTACAACATCTTATTCCACTAAGTAGTATCCTCACCTTAAAACTTCCATATCCAAACATATCTTTTAATAAACAAGCCATCACAAACTCCGCTCGTAGCCCAGTTTAGAGCCCTCCCAACAGAGGACGGTAAACGTATGTGAAACTCGAGTGATGATGGCTCCTGACTCACATTTCTGCACGCGCCCGCCTAAGTTTGGCTTTAGTCTCGGCCAATTCAACTGAGACGTGATGCTTCTCTGCGTGAAGTTGGAAACAGTCTAAAGCGTCCGGGTACACATCTGCAACTGATTCTGGATCTTCAAGAACGAAACTGCCAGGACAGAATGCGGAGTCCACGTAATCGTCCTCGTCACAGGGAACATCCGCCGGACTGTCGGATACCATAAAGGATTGTTGTGGCTGTGGCGTAGGACAGTTCTGGTCATTAGTTGAGTGATATTGTTCATCCTCACCGTCGAAAAAGCGTTTTGCATACTTTCTTGGGCTGTTTGAGCGTTCACTTGTGTCATAGTTCAGTTTGGGCGTCGACGTTGTTACCTCACCTCGAGTGGGATCGCCCAGAGATATTGTGGAAACAGATCGTTCGTGCAAATTTACCCGTCCCAAAGATAAGGCCCGGCCGCGACTGGTCAATCGGACGCGGGCTTGAAGTGTGGTCAACTTCGTTTGCACGGTGCTCAGCTGGTCGAGTAAATCTCGGATTTCCTAGGGGATGGGAAAGGGAAAAAAACTTGACTTACTAAGCGTGTGCGATAACAATGAGTAAAAGAGACTGGTCCATTGATACCTTGCGTGGTTACTGTTTAGTTACAGGATACTCAACAGATATGTGGAGTGGATCCTATTAGCTGAATACCAGATCGTGACCTGTTCTCACTAATTTTTGGACAGGATTGTCTTTGAGATGAGAAACGCTATATCTTCTCTATTATTGTTAAGCGGTATGGCAGAAAAATTAGTGAGTGTGGGCGTGGTGGCTAACTGGACATGCGATGGGAGGAAAAGAGTTTGTTGTGAGAATTGGTGGGCAAAGAGGAGTGAAAGGTATGAGGCGTATGATGCCAAATCCGTGTGAGGGGCGGCCCTCAGCACAAACAGCCTCAGTCCTACACTGTGTTGAACAGACAGAGCAACGTTGGAAGCAAATTCTATCAGGCAAAACCAGAGACCAAGTTCTAATTTTCCAGTATTAGACGTTCCAACCCTTTCTATCAGGCGGCTCTGGAGTACAGTATGCCGTATCTCTAATGGAGAGTGCTACAATGAGTATTTGGCAGGGCCGCACTGACTTGATAGTACTGAAAGAGAAATTAGTGCGTTCATTGAAATAATGCAGATGAGTCCAAATAGGAGGCGCTCATTGTGACCGTATGTGCATCAAAACTTGCTCAGCACCGGAATTGTGTAAATGCAAATTTCCGGGCTTAAACTCAGTCAGTTTTCAATGCCTCAAACAGGATGAAGCGAGGACGTGATTCGGCACCACATAAAGGTCAATGGTAGACAAAACCATAGCTAATGAAATTGGCGCGGTCGGTGGGTAGTTCTCATTATAAGCATATGAATATTCAGGTCAGCATAGACAGCACGTGTCGGGGTAGTAGACGGTAAACATGGTCGAACTAAACCGAAAGACGGCAGCGCAGCCCGAAATCAGACCACTGAAGATGACAGCACATTGTGTAGTGTACTGTAAGCTCATGGATCTTGTCACGGCTTTAGGAAGACTGCATGGTTGTTGAAGAATCTTAGTGAAAAAGATTCACAGCTGGCTTAAGTTAAGAGCGTCTCCTCTGGAAAAACCTATGAGCTGCCATTTAACGCATTTCCAGCCAAACAATTCTTGGGTCAACAATGAACCAAAAGATGTGATTTATGTAGGTCTCTCCAAGTCAGAACTACGGATACCATCATGCCCAAGAACTAAGGCTCCGCCTAAGGTTAGTAATCTCAGACCGGGAGGCTTATGCAAGACTTGAAACTAACATAATAAAAATATGGATTCAAGTTGGATGAAACATAACTCATTGCCCCTAAACGACTACCCATGTTGACGGCACAGTCTCTGGTATGTGGTTCAGTTAACATGAAGAAAACTGCGTATATGAAACAAAATTAACTCATAATTGATCTGCCTACTGACTTACTTCCAAATAAACCTCCTCCAGTTGGTTCATAGCGTCCCGTATGACAAGCGACAAATCAGACGGCGATGATTGAAGCTTTTCAAAGCTCATCACAGAAATAGGGTTTTCAGTGAACTGAATAATGACAATGAAGTGAGACGTAGTAGAATGAGTCAACCAAGGAAATAATAATTTGTTTTCGAGAAAGCAATAGGTTAAAATGTAAAGTAAACGCATTTTCAAACCTACTGAACAGTCTCATCTGAATTCAAAATACAAGGGCGTTTGATGGATATATATCGTCTACAGATTATTACAGATTATTACAAGGGAAGAAGAATGACAAAGGTGCCCGCACGCGGTATCGTGTATAGAAGATTCAAAACACATGGTGCGAGGGCCGAATAATACTGACAGATACGAATTACACTGACCAAAACTTCCGTTGGAAGGCGCAGTGAAGAATATGTCAACACGAAGACGATCATTCAGAAAAATGCCTATCTAGTCCGCCTATTTTCTGTTAGCGAATCTCGTGAATGGAATGAACAAACCGTGGAGTATGCTCGCCATCTTAGCTCAGTTAATAAAGCACTACTAATTCTGATGTCACTGATGACGAATGCTCAAACTGATCATAGGTATGTGTTATCAGATTTGGTGGGTTGCATTAAACGCTACCGACTCCAGGAAACCTTGAGCATCCGGCAGGTAGAGTGCATGACAGAAAGCATGTCATGCTCCTGGAAACTCCAACTCGATTGGAATAAATTTGTTTTCAATGGGTGAAAGTAAGGCCCAACACCGACACGGAAAATTAAACCCGGTAAAACGTGGACAACTCAAGGAAAAGCAGCACCCAAAAACGGACATTTTATCTTAAGCTAAGTGAAGCGAAAGATTAATCAATTAGTTCATAAAAAGTAGTCAAGTTAACAAACGAATCCGCCGAATGAATAATAATAACAGTCAAAAAAGTAGATCTCAGGAAACATGCAAAGCTTTTATAAATTTGCACCGCGTTCATTATTGGTCAGGTTAGTGGCATGGCTGCTGAACTCAAAGTTGAAATAATCAGCTACAACAGCACACATTTGATAAAATGGGGATTATATTTCGTCCCATCATTGGATCGCCATGTTACTGACAGTAAAATGACTACACCAGCACTCACCAACGTAGTAAGTCATCTGTTGAGTCACTTGTCGAAAATGATAAATTCATTTCCATTATAAAGACGATTTCGCAATTGTAAATAACACAGCCGAATGTTTACGCTCTAAGTTACCAGGATTCCTTTAGATCATCCGGAAGTTAGGATCTAAACATGCACTCAAACAAAATTCAACCGGTCTAGCCAAGGTTTTTATGCAGTTGGGTCATACCAAACAAAGTGCGAATCAAGTGAACCACGGGAGTGTGGCGTGTTTTATGCCAGGAAAGAAATCACGGAAAATATTACGAGCAGGTTTATCGTCTTAGCAGCGGAGTAATCGGACAATTCAAACCATAGTCCTAACACACCGACACTGAAATCAAATTTGATCCCAAAATTCTAATATCCTCATAATGTTCCCACCCCTGTGCTATTGAACGCCAGTTGGTAGGTGTGGGAAACAGCTGTTCACACGCCAATGGGTCTAACATCTTTGTCCAGACGAGTCATCGAAATGTTGTTCAAGACTGCAGCGTCGGAGGTTAGCGGTTACCACGACACGGGTGGTTTGTTCCCTCTACCTGTTAACAATGGCAATGAGTCAGCATTATACAGAGCAATTATGCATCAAAACATCTTCTGGATCTGAGATAACGTATTCGTTCGGTAAAAACAGGGTCATCCCAACGTCATTGATGGGCAAATCCAGACGGCTACAATTCAAGATACAAATGGATTCTGTTGACACTCTTGAGGGATTCACTAATAGAAGAATCCTTGAGAACAAACTGTCCAAATGGAAATCTCATTAAAATTTTGATGACGACGACGTCTGTATCCATCGAACTCCGTTGTGAAGAAGCGCCGGAAGGCACAAGAACGAAACGACTGACTGGAGCTAGGCAATCCAACCCTATTTGCTATACTAATACGAAACAAAAAGCTCGTACGTTGGAATAGCTAGAAGCTGAATTTAGGTAAACAAAACTTCTACCGATATATATATATATATATATATATATATATATCGCCACTAGTTTACAGCCCACACGATTGAAACACTTCCTCCCATAAAATGCCTATAAATCTGCTCAACGTGAGACTTCCTGGATTTGCATCTCTAGTGGACTGACTTGTGTGGTCTTCTGCATCTCACACTGTGTATACGGTATTATTCCGATCGTCACATCCTAGTTCGTGAACACACGAAAAGAACGGTCGGTATTTTTTGAATCACTGTTGAGTAAATAGAATTTAGCTTTTCAGCCAAATACACAATAGCGTAAAAAAGCTATTGAAATTTCGACCAGGCCCTGAATTCCCATTCCAGTTATGCAAGTGATGATGTTGAATACTCAACTGTAACATTTATTTCCACAACGACATACGAGACTATCCATTTAGTTGAGAGATCTAAGACAAGCTTTTGACCGCCGATTCTTTTGAACCATGAATGATCAAGGCTGGCAGTAACGAATTCCTCGTCGATTGATTCGAGAAAAATGTTTGTCGATGCATCTTATCTTACTTCGTCCAAACTGAACCCGTTTCCTCACTAACCTCCCTTGCCCTCCTCACTTACATTCGGCAGCAGTGAGCTTCTGCTGATGATCTTGATAGAAGCTGCCAGTTACTTCCACAGTAACAACCACAAAAGTGGTGACTTAGAAAATACATATAACGCCAGTGAACCGGGAACACCTAAAAGAAGCTGTGGTACGTAAGATTTTGTCATGTTTAAAACCCAAGGAATAGTTTCTCAAGTGCATCGTCTAATGACGTCTAACGTCTCACAACAATGCTCGTATGTGGAAGCAGAGAACCGTCGATCGTGATTTCATTCTGTAGTTCTCGCATCAACAATCCTCGCAAGTTCTTGAGTAAGGTAGATGCATTTCAGACCTATTCACAAATGTGCTGAGGTGCTTCGGTGTAGAAGTGGTACAAACCGATGACAATCATCAACCTGACACTAGTTTCATACTGGAATAGTGCTTTGGGAGACGTAATCCTCATGCATACAAAACAAGTTAAGGAGAAAATACTGATCTCGATGTGGATGACGTGGTTGAAACGACTTTCTAGGCGGCTTCTGAAAACCCGTGGGTAAAATATGCTGCCTGACTTCCAAGCTTTCGGTAAAACGATGTGGTCCCCAAACTTCTCCTAGTGCGCTGAACGATCTCAAACTGTTATCGGTTGTGTATGTGGTCATTCATTTGGTGAAACGGTTCTCTTTAAATGAAACGACAGCCATTCGTCTGGGCAGGATGCAAGCCAAAGTGCAGACCTGCAAATAAGCTCTAACTCAAAGTAAAGCACACTCCTATATAAGACATGTTAAGGCAAGATATGATAAGGTAGGAACGCACACGTCGCAGTATCTTAGAAAGGCTCATCAGGCTTGTGCGACGCAAACACATGGCCGACGATGATAGTGGACACCATTATTCGCGCAGTACTGATTTGAGAATAATCTACTAAATCAGTGAAGTTCAAAACGGCGAAACATACAATCTCAAGTGGAGGAAAGTTGACGCGAATGAACAGAGTGTTAATGAAGAGTATTGGACCTGGAAATAATTAATAACTGGAAAAGAATGATGCAGTACCGGTTCCTTGGATAAGCAGAGCATCCAACACACAACGTACATTGGTTATGCAGTTCATTATCCCAGCCTGTATATCGGGACTAAGATTCTCCATGATCTGACAAATAAAGTGATCCCGACGTTCACAGCGCACAGCTGCACAAAGAAGCAACAGCAGAAATTGCTCCAGTTCTCGGTGAGCGCGAGCTGAAAAAAATTATTAAATCATAAATCAGAACTGATAAGCGGTAACATAGTGGTTAACAAAAATATTTGGAGAAGAGGAACATGTGCCACGATAGCCGGTGACTCCTTTAAGCCTGGTGGTCACATTCCGAACAGCCGTTTCGAATCACACTCGCCGGTCAAGAAATATCATATTTCTACTGATCGACGAATTCTCCAGCACGGGACGAAATTGGGTAAGAACATAGACATAAGTGAACCGTCCCGTGATACTCTCAAAACAGAACGGAACTATGAGTCGGTAGTTCGTGCCACCATGTTAGACAGTTGCCGTTATTGTGGGTGGTCTCCTACACTGTTCAGTAAACCAATTAGCGACTAAAGTAGCACAGTACCTGGCTGAAGACAAGAGGTCTATTTCTACGTCTGAAAAACTGTTCACATCCGACTGAGCACATATCATTAGTCAAAGCCGGAGAAAACATATTAGCTAATATAATGGAAAAGCTGTACCATGTTAAAAAGCTGGAGTGGTATGCTTCCATACTACGGGTCCTCAAAGCAGACAAATATGGTGGTCTCCTCCGATGAGTGGACAGAATGGTTGGAACTGTCCACTATTGGGAAAATCTGACACCTGATTGCCCACTGTACATGCCTACAGAGCTTTACGACACAACATATAAATGCTCAAAAGCAAACACGCCATTCGAAATGGTCAAACAACACTGACTACAAACATAGCTACCCGAATCTGCGTAAATCATGGGGTCACACACCTGGGTAGGATTGAACTCACTGGTCGCCAACATACTGCAAACCACCACTGAATTACTAAGTAAATCGTTTCCTATTTCTCACCAATACCTGGCAAACGTGAGTTTACTTTGACTTCTGATCGACGCGTAGTAGTACGGCCGCTGTATTTCGCCTGACTACTCAGGCACACTTCAACGCCTCGGCAATGGACCTCCCCAGAGAGCACTGCTATGCTCATTTATCTTACGCGAAGCGTAAGATTTGACGAACTTGGTGGAAGGGGCCGGCATCTATAAAAGGGCTAGTGTTGTGCTCATTGTTTTACATTCATTCTTAGGTCAACTGAACGATATTAACGGGCTTCCGGGTAATAGCCTGTCAGTCTTGATCATCCGCATTTAAATCAGGACCAGCGGCCAACCTGTGGTGCCACATTCGAAGCCGTTTATCTTTTACCTCCTGTGCACATGCATCTAGAGAATCGAACACTGTTGACAAGATGTCAACTAACCATATACAGCAGCAATAAGCTCACCAAAGTAGGGCCAACTCTATAAACTTAAGGACCTAGCTTGGAACTAATAACTTTCGAGGGACTAACCCCGGCTCACCAAAAAAACACTCTGAATATGCCTGCGGTGCAAAACCCATTCGCAAACGAAGAACAGGATATACTGGGTTACCCTGTACTTTGGTACAAATTAGGCGTCTAAACAATGACATCAACGCAAGTTCACCTGTAGTAGTTTACCTAGCTAGATAAACTGCATGACAAAGTGTCCTTCCTGCAAAAAGTGCCAATAAATAAGCTTTCCACAAACAGACCGTGTACGGGAACAGGCAGTTTTCACGAGTGTATGTAGGTGGTCTCTCAAGAGGGAACACCCTTACTAAGTTTTCTTCCGGAAAGACTACTTGAAAACACTGATCAAAATTTAGCTCTCTGAAAGTTAGATTTGTTAAGAATCAATCGATCGTATATCTTGCTTCTCGCAAGAGAACAATCCGAAGGATCGACTAGAAACAGCCCATTCTGCAAGCTGGTCTTTACAAGGAAGTACGTTATATTTAAGGTGTGATTTTAGTGCATTAGTTTCCGCGTGTCACTACGATATCATCCAGAATTCGGGTGCGCACATCATTATTTGCTCCTACTGTCTACAGAATGTTCACTTCATCTATGACTGATTGGTAGTAGTTCTGGGAGGGAGAACATTTACGGGTTATGACGCAGTTAAACTGAGAGTTGTCCTTAATTTTGAGTACACTTAAGCAACATATTTTAGATTGCTGTTTCGGTAATTCATGATGGTTAGAAATTCAAGTAACGTCGAATATTAACCCATAGTAAACAAGTTTTCATTTCACCAGGGTCTTTGCCCTTGAAGGCCAAATGTATAAACACTTATATGACCAGTTGAGTGCTGACTAAAAATGCACAACAGGCTAAACACGTTACAATAAGTATAGCCCATATGCACACTCTTAAAGTCTCGACGTCTGCCAACACTGTTAGGGGATACCGGGGCAGCAGACAACATACATCAACATGGTATTTGATCAACGTACGGATGAATTAGAAGGGTCTGACATGATTGCTCTGTTTAAGAGATTGGTCACGTAAGATAGCAGGAAATAGGTCAATTGACAAATAATATGTTTCGTTTGACCAAAGTGGATAGTTGGTTCTTTCTATGGCAGATGCGTAATCGACGCCGTCATGTTGGTTCATGTGACCGATACGAGTCAACCACATTGCCCGACACTGGGAGAAAATATCAACTGTTTATCATAACAAATATAAGACGCTTGACAAAAGACAGAATTAGTTTGCAAGATATCCACTGTCATGACTGTAATGACCTCATTAGCAGTGATTGTGGTTCAAATTATATGAAGAGAGCTGACGGTGGCAAAAATAATCGGGAACACACAATACTGGGGCGCAAGTGCTCTCATGATCCAGTAGTTCAAAAATAAGAGCCGGTGGATTTCACCATAGATCACTGGATGCTCGAACGATACAAGACCGTCGGCTGATAGCTTGAAGAGGGTTAAGTACGGGTCGCTTATAAGAGTGGTGGCTTGAAACATTTCACTGTTAATGGACTGCTTCAGAAGGTAAAATTACATGATAAAGCAACGAGCAAAATTACGGATCCTCATGATGATTCTGCAATACTGCCGACAGTTGAATGTGCCTTGAGCCAAACCATCAAAAAGGCCCTAATCGGATGAACTCTGTGCCCTCAAGAACTGCGATAACACGTTTCATACAACATCACGTATAGTTACCGATCATTATATATACATCACAAACACTTCTGCTGATCCTCTCAGATGAGGAACCAATTCTACGAAGGCCTTCAAGTCACTTCCCCTAAAGTCCGACTACGCACCATCCTGGTTATAGTAGACTAGGACGCTTTCACACGTTCGTCTGACAAGTCATCTCACCATTTACATGGAAAATTGGCTTGGACTAAGATTGCAAGAACGACGCACACTTCGCCGGACTCCCGGGATGTACGTCCCCAACACTCGCTCCCAGAACTCCAGAGAGCACGGGTTAACACAGTACGATGTACTGAAGATCACAGAAATCGACTCCAATTCGACCACGATAAACTCCTTCCATTGAGAATTGGAGACCATATGGAATAGCTGAATCCGGGAGTGTGTTTTAAACTACACGCTAGCTATAAGTAAGTCCAAGTTGCATCAGAAGATACACCTCAGGAAGTGTTCCGACAACGCGTGAACACCATGCCCCTAGATAATGCGGATCGATGATGTAAAATGCCTAATGCACACGCTGCTTAAAAGCTGATCAATTAAAAGCAAAACGCACAATTTCTGCACATAAAAAAGATGAGATCTCAGAGGCACTTTACTGATAATTGCATAGGGGATATAAGGGATGCATTCAAAAGTTGACGGTTTCTTTTATTGGAACCCTGGTGATGGGACGATGAGAACCAATAAGAACACTGCCTCCTCACTCGTAGGCAACGCATATACACCACTAGCTAGCTGAAACGCGTCGCTGAAAATTATCTGCGAGCAAGTTCCGAATCGCACCTAGTAATTTTACTAGCTATGGACAAGAACAGTCGGTTTACGCAACTTTGCTGATACCTTACTCCGAAGACTCTGAACAGCATCTGGTTTTGGTTTACAAAATTCATCACCTGCCTACCTCATTTGAGTACCAATTATTGCGGTTACCGGGTAATTTTCGTTCCTCATTAACCAGGTGTTCACATTAAACCTTACGACTAAAATTCTCCGTATTCGCACCCATTATGTCTGTTGTCTATCCGGATCATGCATCCGAATGACTCGGATCGCCTCCAGATGAAGGGTAGTTTTCAATCAAGATTTTATCGCAAACGAGTAGCCGAAAAATTCGCTGAGTTCACAGCCACGGGCGCACAACGAATTATGCAGAGAAAAAAGTGTTTTCAACAGTCTTTTCCACGCAATCACCTAATTCATTGTGTGCCAGATACGAAAGACTGTCTTATAATGCAAGTATCAGACAGCAGAACTGTCTCTTTTCAAGCTACTAGGACCGCAGCACAGACAGAAACAACACAGAGATTAATACACTACTGTCTCTAATGTTGTACACAAGTTCATTTGCAGTCGCAGTGACATTTGTGTCGGTAGAACAGCATACTGTCTGAATCAACGAACCAATGAGCACTCTCCAGAGTCACGAAGACAACAAATTTCAGAAGCCGATACGCACCACAACCAGGCAGTGCGACTGCAGTACATTTGCCGCGGGGAAGCATCTACTAGGGTTGGCGGAGTATCCGCTCGTTGAAGGGTAAGTATATTTGCTGCACCTGAGGGATACAACGCTAATTGTTCCTGGATGCTTCACATAGCTTCTGTGAATACGCGACGTGCGTTTTGTTCTACCTGGAATTATTGCTCTAGATCAAATAGATGAACATACTTGTCCGTGAACGAAGCACCCTAATTCAACAAACCGCATTTGTGTGATGTTCCGTACGATGGCTGTGTTAGTGTGAACGAGTAAATCTTATGTCACCTGGCGATATTATGAACCGTGAGAAATATGATTTTATGAAAACGCCTGTTGAAATCCTATTAAGTGTCGAGTTTTGTGTTTCTCTTCATCCTACATTCCAAACTCATTGAACCCCAACCTGCATTCAAACTGTGACGTGTTTCAGCGAACAGAGCTCTGCGCGTGTCCTCGTTCGGTGAACGTCTTACCCGAGTAAAGT